AATTAAAGTTGGATACAGATAATGAGTATACCATTGGAAAGGCTTGTGCAGTGCTATTCCATGAAATAGACCTATTTTACAAGTGGTTTTGTGTAGATTTGTACAGATTTCTGTATATTTGACAGATCTGTGGTTGCTTGATAGATGAATTTTAAAGAAATCAAAGATACTAGTTTTTGAGGGCTTTATTTTATCAATATATTTTATACTTTTTTTGGAATTGTATTCTATCAACGAGAGTTTCCTTCCATGGAAATTGTGCACAGTTCATGTTGTATCATGGACTTTGCACCCAGACCTCTGTGCACTAATAGGCTTCAGCTGAACTGAACATTTTCCCACGAAGAAAAGATTTCTTCTAAGTGTATTAAAAATGAGGAGTGTCATTTTTAATGAGAGGAGCACAGAGAGTGTTTTGAGTTATGTTGTGTGTGAATGTCATGGCTTGATGAGATGTTATTTGTGATTTCCTCTGGTCACTTATGTCTGTCACCCAAGCCTGAGCATGACTGTGGTTGCTTTTTGGTAACACTTGTGCCATTGATTTCTACTTGAAAAAGGGATTTATACTTATGAAGGATTAACTTTCTCACTTTTGGATATTCTTGAGATCTTCAATGTTTAGAAGCTGTTAAATGGGACGATTTTCTCCCAGTTTCAATTCAAGAAAAAAGTGTTGAATTGATTTTGAATAAGGTCATGTAGTCTAAAGCAGTGTTTTGTACTCAGCACTTGCACAAATTTGTGTGTGTCAGTGGCAGCACTTTCACACACTTGGTGTGGAGGAGCAGCACTCATAGGCTGGGCTGTTTATCAAGCTGTGGATATCACAGCTCTGTGGGAGGGCATCTGTGAATTAAGTTTTTGGGGGTGATTGCTGCTCTGAATCTACAGTTACCCCGACCAAGGAGAATTGTTCTTAATGATGAGATCAATTTTAAGTATTCAGTGTTAAATCTTCCTGCATCACACAGGGCAGGTACTGGTTTCGTTTTATCTTAACCAAATCAGGCACAGCGGAACTGAGGAGCCCGACTACTCTTTATTTTTGGCAAAAATCAAGCTTCAGATTCTAAGTTTTGGTTAGAAACTGTCTCATATTGAATTTTCAGCGCTTTAACCAGGAAATAGCAGGGGGAGGAGAGAACTGGCAGGGTTTGCTGTGTTTGTGGCTCATTCTGGGCAGCATTTGCCTGACTGGAGCTGCATTTTCAGCAGAGAGCAGAGAGGCATGTAATGCAAAGGCTGGTTCAAGGCTGGCACTGCACACCAGTGCTGCTCTGAGAACCAAGCCTGGGTCTATTTAGACAGGAGGACATCACAGAAATGTTATATGTTTGATTTCTTCAGAGCAAAAAAAAAAGTCTTGAGGGCTTTCTTCCTGTTTTAGGTCAGTTTTAGTGAGTGTTGCTTAGGCTTTCTTTCATCAAATGTTCTTTTATTTCTCTGGTTGTTCTTCCATTTTGGTCACATTTACAGTAATAATGCATTTCTCCCTCCCACTCCTCCTACTCAACAACCACACAAAGATAATTTCTGACCTGCTGGCTTGTTTATCAACAGCATTGACGGTGATAAATGTTCCACTTTGTTTTGGAGCTATTTTGCAATATGGGGTAATACCTAAACGAGGTGGATTTTTACTCAACCTGGCTGTGACAGGCCCTGGATCTTTCACAATACAAAGCTGAGTATCACTGAAAAGGTAGCTTATTAATGGATTTATTCCTTATGTATAATTTGTTGGCATGTGCTTCCATCTGTTTGGAATGCTGTGCTTTCTGCCCCCTCCACTGGGACAATATGTCTGGTTATGGTGGTGGTCTGTCAAATTGAATCATTGAGTTGATCTAGGCAGGAAAACCCAACCAAGGCAAAAATCTCCTTTCCCTTCTCTGCCTCCCTTAGGCTGGATCATTTCTGGCATTCATTTTACATTGCATTCCCACAAAATATTGCTTTGGTACAGCTGAAGAACAAGTGAATTATTGAGCAGGTTTGGGGAAAATGGGCAAAGGTTTGCCAGCACTGGATGCTCTTAAGCTGGAACTGGACTTGGAGAAAGAAAAAGAGAATGGGGCAAGAGCAGTGCGGGATTTAGCATTTACAATAGACATGCTTGTGAAATGCATTTTGCATAACATTTTGAAACACCAGTGTGCTGAGGGCCTATCTGGCTGTGCTTGTTTTTACAATTAAGATTTCATTAGAATTAGTAAGTCTTGTTGTCTTTCTTGAACTATGTGTTTTTTTCTCTCCAAATGTGGTTTGTTTTCTTTTTTTCTTCTGTGTGGTAAACTTGTTTTTAATGCAAATTAATACTCCAACCAGAAAGTGCTTTGTCTGGGTATACCTAGGGAGTAATTAGGGCTTGGAGCCCTGACAAATTTGGTGGGTAAGCACCAAGGAAATTTTGCATGCTTTTTACCAAACATTTTCAATTATTGCAAAACCCCATAAATCTGTGAGCAGAACTGAATCTGTTTTACTTCAGGGTGTTCCTGTTCTTAAAAACCTTGACAGAAAGCAGAAAATTTATGTAATTCTGAGCAATCCTTTACACGACCATTACAACCCCCTCCTTTACACAGCCTTAATTCTTTGAAGTAGCTGAATTTTATCCATCTTGGCCTCAATCTGCCTGATCTAATAAAAACCTACAGCGTTATATTGCATATTGTCGTTGTAAAAACTTATGGCTGCTCTAATAGCAAACACTTGCACGTGGCACCGTAACTGAGCTGCATCTCTTTCATTCAGGTTCAGAAGGGGAGGTTCGGATTTAGCTGCAAAATCTGCATATGACTAAGAGTCAGGAGACATGTCCAACATCCCCCACCCCAGCAGTGTGAGCAGCAGGGCTTCTGGAGAACTGCTTGTTCACACTGGCTGGGTGTGCAGGTGGGCCACGCAGGGCTTTGGGACTCGGCAGCCCTGGCAGCTCCTCTCTGTGCTTTTCCCCGGCTCGGCAGAGCAGGGCCACGGAAAAACCTGGAGCACCCGCTGTGTGGGCCCAGAGAGAGCACCCGAAACTGCCTCTCCAGAACCAGGAAGGGACCTGGTTAACACATAAATATTTTTTTCCGTGTTTTTCACTGCTTTCTTTTTTATTTATTTATTTTTTTCCCCCCAGTTTTTCAGAACGTTGTTTTCTTCTTCCGTGACTTTTACCAACACTGGTGTCACATTTTCAGTGACATCCAACCTGCATCCCTTTAACGTGGCCTGGTTTTGGCACGGGGGCTGCAGTGCTGTGCCCAGCCTGGCAAATCCATCTGAAACTGCTGACATGTCAAACCTCGATGGGGTAAATCAGAGCTGGAGTAGGATATGAATTCTGTGGTGTTTTTTGGTTTGTTTGGTTGGTTTTGCTTTTGTTTATTTCAGAAAATTATGGCCATATTTTCTTCAGTAATTTTGTTTTGTTTTGGTTTTTTGTTGTTTCAGTGGTGGCACAGAGTGTTCATTCTAAGTCAACATTTTTCAAATTTAATATTTTGAAGCTAGACACCTGAATGCCAAGTTTAGGCACTCCAAAATAAGGCTTAATCCTTGTTAGTCCCCAGTGTGTGCAGCTCCCATTGAAATCAATCAAATACAGCTTTCCATACTTCAACGAGATTTTGTTATGATTAAACAGACACTCATAAAACTTGGACAAGCTGGAATCAAGTTTCACATGAAACTGAATGGACATTTTTTTCCTTAATAGGATCCTTGTAATTAGTGATTACCAGATGCATTTAAAACGTGTGAAATGCCTGCAGGAATTGGAATTAAGGGTGGGGGAGGGATGCCAAACACCTCAGATCTTCTGCTGGCAACCTTTCATTTCAGATTTCTGCTCTGCACATAGATGAGGAGGCATGATTTCTATAAAATGTTCAGCTGTGGTTTCACATTAAGCTGATGTTACCAATAAAGGAGTGACTTGTAGCTGAAAACTTATTTGCTTAAAAATAAATAGCAGGTTTAGCTCTTGATGGCTCCCCAGTTTGTTTCAGTGGTCACATTGCTGCCCTTACCACAGGTCGGTTTTCTAATTCTAGCGACTGTCATAGTGATACTGTTTGTCACTTGGATCTAAAGAGAAGAATGAGGCTTCTGGGCTCCTTTTGTGATGAACTAGAGGTGTCCCACACAGCCTGAAGGAACATCCCTGGGGCTGTGCCCAGACTGCAGCACAGGAGCAAATGACTCCTCTGGATGAGGCTCATTCTTGGTACCATCTGTTCTCCCACTTGTTATGGAGAGGTGCTGCTTTTGTCATGTTTGGAGTTTTAATCCAAAACCTCCATTCTAAAGGATTATCTTGGTGTGGACTGTTTGCTCGTACCCTGATGTATGTCCTTCTCTATTGGAGGGCTGTTTTTTGGTTTGTTTTTTTTTCCTTCTCTCCCTTCTCTTTGGAAATTCGGTGCTGGACAGTAACTGGTCCTGACCAGAGGGAAGCTTGTTAGGAGCTTGTAGAGGGCTTGAACAACACTCTCATGCTCAATAACTTACACATGGCTCCTTTGTTTTCCTCTCCAAGTGATTTAGATCAGAGTCCTTACTCAAATTCCCTTCATTTTGGAGTACTTTTACCAGATGCTTCCATGAATGTTCTGGAAAATACAAGAACATGCTTGAACTCTAGAGTATTTAAGATAATGGATTCTTTTAGAATGAATAATGAGAGCTCTTTTTGCAACACTTGTAGTGTTCCTACAACTGCTGGCAGTTTGTTCCTTGGGTAGATATTTGCCCCCACAGAGACTGTTATTGCTCCTGCCCTTGCAGAACTGTGGTTGGATGGAAGAGAGGATGATGCTGGGAAGGAAGAAGTATATTCCTGGCTTTTTGACAACCATTTATGAATAAAGAATAAAATAGAGATACAGATGAGACACCATTATCTCTTCTCATTGTAGCTGGATACCTAACTGTTTCTTCTTACCTTGTTAATCTTTTTATTTCCCCCTTAAAGTCTGATTTTTTTCCCTCCCTGTTCTTAATAGATTCACTGTGAGCAGCTCAAAAGGAAGAATAAGGATGCAGAGGATCGTCTGGAGTTGTGCCTCCATCAGTGTGTTGAGATGGAAAGGTATTAACTATCTTAATGTTACATGGAGAGACTTCTTTTATTTTTATTTCTTGAAAGGTAATTTACTTTGCATTACTGGAAATCTGTAGTTGAGTGTTCCCTGTGTGTCCATGTATCTTCCAGAGACACAGGTTAATGCTTTTTCTTTCCTGCTTTAATCTGTATTGTGAAGATCTGTTTAAATGTGTGAAATGTAGAAATTTTCTGTACTCAGACGAGCAGAATCACAGGGAATAGCTTGGAAGGGACCCCTGGAGATTGTCTGGACTGACCTGCTGCTTCCAGCAGGGCTGGTTAGGTCAGATAACTCAGGGCCTGCCTGGGTGAGTTTCAAATACTTCCAAGTATGGAGATTTCACAACTTCTTTGGGCACCTGCTGCTTCACAAAGCAGTAATATCTCTACTCATAATACTGATACTAAGTATTAAGTGCAGTGTGTGGATTTGGGAAAGAGAGGAAAAAGAAAAATTTCTTTAAGGTAACTGCAGATTGTTTGGAGAAGCTTAAGAAATAATATCCTACCCTTCTTTCCTCCTGTAAAGAAACATTTTGTCTCAGGTTAGTTTACTGTGAAATAACTGAATCGGGAATCCCTTGGGATTTCCCATTTATTCAAGACACTGTGAGCTGTTGCCAGTGTAGTTTGCCTCCATCCTGTTTCTGTGAAGGGAGGGAGGCACCAGGTTCCCATCTGTTGATGACACCCCTGGTGAAACCGTGTGCCGGTCGCTGGCAGTCCGAGCCCTGGAATTGTGACACCGCCAGCCACGCAGGGAGATTCCTCTGCCTCTCAGCATCCCCTGCCTTTCAGCTCGGCTGCCTCACCGCTGCCACGGGCGAGGAGTTGGCCTGACTTAACAGAGCGGCTTGTCCTCCGTCAGCTACCGTGTGTTACATTTCCTGGCTGTGTTCCCAAATGGTTTTCATCTGTTCATCCTGCTTGCGCTGGCAGTAGGTCACTGAAGGTGTCTCAGGTCTGCGTGGGAGACACAGGCCCAAAATGAATCATGGACTTGTTTTCCTCCAAAGGTTCAGCCCAGCTGTAAGCCCAGGTCAGTAAGGCCTTGGTGAAGCATCCACATCCTGGCCAAGGCTGAAGTGGGAGGCAGAAATGGGCTGTTTGTGGTGATGCCTGATTCGAAAAGAAAGAGTAGTGATGTAAAAGACCGGTTAAAAATGCCAGCCATGCAACTGCAGTGCATCAGAATCATAGTTTTCCGCAGAAACAAGTGCACACAAGATATGAATGGACCTGTGGTACTTAAGCTGCGTGTGTAGGGCAAGCAGCCAGTCCAGAAAGGGCTGTGGGAGGGAGACCAGTTCAGAAAAGCACATACTGAGGATAGGAAAGTGTCCTGAAATGGGTGCAAGCTTTTCTAGATATTGATCTTCACAGAAAAAAGAGCCAGCACTTGAAAACATATAGATCTGTCCTCCTTCTCCGTCTTTTAACTCTTAGTTTTCAGTTCTTTCAGTGCTTTCCTGCCACCTCTCCCCAGCTTTCTGTGTGTGTGGTTTTTCAGTGGGGGAACCCATCTGCTCACAAAGCACATGCTGCTTGGTGGCTCTGCCTGGCCCAGCTTTCCATGACTGATTTTCATGGCAAAACTTCGGTTCCCTTTCACTGGTGATCCACGCGCAGCTACGTGAGCCCTGGGTGATGAGTCTGGGTGACAGTGCTCCACTCACTGCTTCTCCAGAGAAACAGGCATCTGCAACTCACTCATGGCTCATTTAAAGCCTCAGAAAGTTGATGAAAATAATTTAATTGGCTTTCCTGAGGTTTGAACTCGGCCCAAATGCTGTCCATCAGGAAGACATTCAATTACAGTGTTGGTAGGATAATTAAGGAGGAGATCCAAGTGAAAAGGGAATGCTGCTATTTTCCTGATGTACAAGCTGTTCAGGGTGCAGAAGTGAGGCAGTGGCATGGAAACCCAGTCCCAAAGGGCAGGAACCTCCAGGCAGGGAGGGGAGCAGCACCCTGGGATCAGTAACATGTCATTTAATGCAAACCAACTACTCATGGTCTTCTTGCACGTTGCAGGTTACTGAGGGGGGTTATCAAACACTGAGAGACACTGAGTGCCTGTGTATCAGTACCTTTCCTTCTCTCTTCACTGACCCAGGATGTGCAGCTTCACTTAATCACTGAGCCCTTCGTGGTTTTTTTTTTTTTTTGGCTTATTTTCAGAGAAACCAGATGTGTTTTCATTAAGAACATGCACCTCTTCTGTTGTCATTTGTATAATTCTTAAAATTAGGCAAAACTATTAAAGAATAATTGTTTCTGTTCACATTAACAGCCCACAGCTTCTCCAGATGTGGCATTTGACAGCCAAGCAGCTGCTGGCTATTAAATGTGCCTTAAAAGCCCCATTCCTTTGTCGTAAAGGGAGCAGGAGTGTAGGGACGTTTATGGGGTGATAGGCAGATGTTTTGGCTACATCAGACTGGAGCGAAAGTTTAAGTGGTTTCTCTGTTAGAGTCACAGTGAGTACATGTTTTAACCCCTATCATACACCTTGTCTTCTGGAGCTCTCTCCTTGAGGCTGCAGTGGGGTTGTTTCTAATCTCACGCTTACCTCCGAAGCAACAGCGCTTTTTTTGCAGCATCTGGAACACCTCACTCTGCAGTTCTGCCAGGGAGATCTCAGTTGCTGCCTGGCTGGCTTTCCACCTATGCCCTTGAAATACTGGGTAAATTTTTGGGGGTGAAACTTAGGTTAAAAATTTAGGTTGGAAATAATTTGAAATAATGTGTTACCTTCCCCACCCCCCCAAACTTTCCTTTTAAGTATATACTCAAAATCCTCAAAGGCAGGTGTTCTTTCTGTGTCTGTACCAGCACAGTATGCTTTAAACCCAATAAAATCTTTTTGTAGTGGTACATGTGAGGTGGAATACAGAACTCGTGGAGCTCAATTTCAAGAGTTCTGGCTCAAATTCCCAGGCCTAAACTTTGATGGAGACCCTCTTGCTGGGTGTTGAGTACTGGAATAACACCACTGATCCTTAGGGAATTGCACCACATTGTAACTATTCTTTATCAGCTCAGAATCTGCTAAACTCTAAGAGCTTATGAGGCTACAGAATTTTTTTTCTATAACAAAAGTCTCTCTGTCTTCTTGGCAGAATTTTGTCCTTCCCATTGCTTATTAAACCGGAAATTCTTTAGTCTTAACTGGATAAGTTTTTAATATAAAAATCCCAATGTATTTACATGAAAAAAAAATCTATAAAACTGAATTTGAAGAGAGTAAAAATCCTTTCAAATCATATGGAACTTCAGAGAATAGACTAGTTCTATAGATACACCATCGTTTTTAAGAATTATATCCCTAATTTTATTGCTATTTCTAGTCCAAGTTAGATTAAATATTCTGTAATTCAGTCTCATACTCTCCCATATTCTACCGGCCCTTTTCTGAACTGAAGTGCATTATCATAAATAGGGGAAGTATGAACTGAAACAGTTGGTCTTGAAATTTGCCATTTTTTAATTTATCCAGACCAGTTCATCCTCCATAATTCAATGCAGAAATTTATTTCTTTCCACGAATCTGCTCCCCAGGCTTAGCCAAGCAAGACTTCTACATCCCAAATGCCCACCCAAGGGGATGAAGCACGTGTTTAACCCTTAGATTCTGGAATTCATTTCCCATCAAAATCTGGCTCTGTGGTGGTGGAGTCTGGCTGTAAATCCTGGCTTAAACCCCTTTTTCACGATTGTTTATGGTGTGTATTTGTGCTTTCACCAATCACAAGAGAATGGCTCGGGCACACCAGCCTTGAAATGAATATTTCAAATAGAATTACATGCCCTGGGTATTAATACTGTGCAATAAATGCCTTGGGATGTGTTGTAGGTATGTCCATTGTCACCTCGTTACTTCTATGAGTGAGGAATAATGCCAATTTCCAATGAAAACCAGGGGGAGCCAAGAGCTCACAGATGGTACCAGCAGCAAAGCTGAGACTCTTAAGGGCTTGGACCTGGTTATTTGGTAAACTTGTATTTCTCAGCCTTCAATCTGTGCTGCTACAAGCCCAAAATATTTGGCTCATCGTGTTCTGGCTCCCAGCTTAAAAGTGGAATTGCTGTAAAAAAGTATGCAACCGTTAATAAATTAAAAAAAATTAATTATTTAGAGAATTATATGTATTATAATGTTATAGATAATGTTAATAATTATAAATAGGCCAATGGAGCCTAGAAATTGAAGTGGCACAAAGATGTCCCATGTGGAAAAAAGTGAAAACTACTTTAAAGGCAGCTGGAAGAAATTAACGCATGGGAGAAATGAAAACACCTTTAATGGGGTGCATGGTCAAGTTCTGCATGGATATGGCAAGTGGCAAACCAAAGGGAATGTCTTACACTTGGAGGACAGTGGTGCTACTTTTCAGATAGGACATGGAAATCACGAGTGAGGTTGGACTCTTCCCTCTTCCTGCAAGTTGCTAAAACTTATTCTGGGAGACCAGCCTTCTTCAATACACCTGTAAATTCTGCTTCCATATAAAATGTCCAAATTTTCCCAAAATAAAAGGAAATTTAGCAACTAACTCGAAGGTTACAAAGAGGAGTAGTATTCTCATCTTTTGTTGGCTCCTGCATTAATCACACCATGCTATGTAAGTAGGATGGGTTGTGTGGATTTTATATCTTCCTGTTCTTTAGAAAGCTTTTGCACATAGAAGGGATATACTTTATCCCATATGACCACATGAAAATGCTTTTAATATTCTCTGATGGTCGATTTTACAAAATATTAAAAAAACGTATCTCCCAAATTTGAAATTATTTCCTTTTCCGTTTGTTAGGGTTTTTTTTTTTCTAACATATTGCATATTTGCATAATTTAATTATTAAAACCCGAAACACCCCATATTAGAAAATGTTGGCAACAGCACAGAACAGGAAAGGTTTTAACGGTACAGAAGTGCACCTGTGAACTTCACAAAACCAAAAGCAGTTTTGGAAACAGTTTTCTGCAGAAGCTGAATGCTGTGTGCCCTCTAGAGCTCATCGGGGGAAGCTCTGGTAATCAGCAGGAACTGTCTTGGTCTGGGGTAGCTCCTAATCACGAGTTCCAGCACTCAAAGCACCTGTGTGCTTGAAAGTCCGGATTCTAAATTGGATCTACACACCAGATGTGTAGATTAACGACAAATAAATATCCTACCGGCTATCAAAGGGGCTAATGTTAAAATGCAGATAAATGGAGTAACAGTTTCTCAGTCCAAGAACTGAGGGGAAACCAAATGCACCAAGAAATCCAGTCAATGAAGTGGCTTTCTGTTTTTTGTGATGGTCTTGAAACACGTGGATATTATGGAGCAGCAATGGGTTTGTAGGGATTGGAGCCTTTTGTGGTTCCTTTTCCCTGGCACAGCCGGGTCCTGCTCTCACCCAGGCACTTCTGAGTGCAGAAAGGAGACTGCAGAGAGACAGGCTGGGAGCAGCCAGAGGTGAACAGCATTTACAGCCACAGCATCAAACTCTGGGGAGGAGAGCAGAGGAATGGACCTTTTCTGGCTGAAAAGAAATACTTAAAGCCAACTTCCATCTTTATAGGGTACTTCTCATCTTGATTCATGCTCTGATCTCAGGAGATTGTGGTCACCCATCTTTGCTCACTGTGGCTGAGCCAGCAGCAGAGATGAGTGCAGCCTGCCTAAATACTTCCTGCTGCACTCCTGCCAGATTGCTGCCCAGCTTTTACTGTCTTATCCTCGGTGTTGCTCCTTTATTTTGAATATTTCTTTTAGGCTAGGCAGTTTTATTTGACCTAAAAGAGTTTATGAAACACTGTTTCCTTTGACCAAGCCGGATTGTGCTGCCAGCTGGGGATGGTGAACTGCAGGAGAGAGTCACTGCTTCTGTGCTGTGGCTTTTCAGTTCTTCTGGGCAGCCTCAAAAGCACTGAGAGCTCTGCACTGTTATATATCCGACTGTTACACAGAGCAGTCTCACACTGGGTCAGGCATGGGAGCCCGGATGGGCTGGAGATGCTGTTTTCCAGGGAAGCACACTGGAGTGCTTGATCCTGCTGCTTCCTGAGGTCTGGGAAGCTCAGCACAGAGTTGCTTGGGAAAAGAAAAACGCCACTTGCCGTGGTTTATCCAGGATTCTGCAACATTTAGCGAGACACAGAAGGGCTGGGTTCCTTTCCTGAGGTTTGTTGTTTTCCCTCTGTAGTTTTCTTCCAATGCTGCTGCTGGGGCTCACCTGCCACCCACGTGCTGCTGGGGCTTTGGAAACTGCCACGAGCCTCCCGAGCAGCTTCATCACCATGGAGTCCATGAAAATGTGCTTGGAGAAGGTCTTTCTCTTCATCCTCATGGCTTTGAAAGGCAGTTATGGCTGTGAAATTCCAGCTTGTCCAGCTACTGAGTGACAAGTCAAAAAACCCCCAGCTTTTGAGTTTTTCTGGTCCTTACTTGCTACTGTTGGTGTTTCATTGTAGAACCTCTGCAAATGATTTTGGCATCCATGCCTAATGTAAACATATTTCTGTTAGAGTCTCTGTGTTTTAAATATTGAGAATAAAATGAATCCTGCTATGCTACCAGCATGAAATTCACCACACTTATTTACCCATATGATTAGGATAGATTGGTTTGTTTATTGGGTAATTTTATCAATTTTGCTTCAAGAGTTTCCTCAGAACCTACAGTGCAATCCTTGTCTAAACTGCAAGCAGCATAACTAATAAATTCTTACTGCTTTCAGTTTTTCTCATAGCTTAATTGAATAATTGAGTATTTTCTGCCTAAATAAAGAAGTAATCTTGCTCTAACAGGTTAGTGATACTTTTGAGACTTGCAGTTTGCTTTCTGGTCACGCATTAGTTACATTTAGAGCTGGATTAAGCTGATTAGGAAATGAAGGTCTGGGCTTTCAAAAGGGCTGAATATTTCTTGATAACTTGGGTTGAGCTAGGACATTTGGGGGTTCCTTTTAATTATGCCTCAGTCCATTTCCTGGAAGTCACATTCCCCCATTACACTGTATCAACTGAATCAGCCCCAGTTGACAGTTAGTTCCGTGAATTTGGAGCCCTCACGTGCACATAAGTCCTGCATGTCCTTAGCAGAGAGAAATGAAAGAAATGAATTTTACCACCAAATAAACCATTTTGTTGTTAATAACTGAGTAACTAGTTTTGCAGTTCCAAACCAATCGAACTATTTTGATGGCAATTTATTTAAAGTTGAATTTCAAATTCTTGGAACTGCACGTGAGTGGGTGGGGTTGAGGACACGTGGCAGTCTTCATATAATCCTCAAAAGGGTCGCTTTGGATTTTGTAGGTGCAATGTAGTAAAATTCATAAAGAGAGCTTGTGTAACTATTTTTAATGATTTTCTGCCCCAAAGGCACTGAGATAGTGCTCGTGTGACAGTGTTTTAGTGCTCTCTGCTTGCACACCAGGAAGGAAGGGAGCAGGAGCTCAGTGCAGGAGCAGCTCTGCTGTCTATGTGCTCACAATCAGGAGGGAGCTGAAAAACTGACCTGTTCTTTACTCCAAGTTTTGGTGTCAAGTTTAACGTTGCTTTTTCTTTCTAAGCAGGTGTGAAAGTAAAGAGCTGGATGTTGAAATAAGGAACCTGATAGAGAAGAGTAACACTTCCCAGTTGTGTGAGGACCCCAAACCTATTGCACAAGACAGTCTGAACCCTCAGAGAACTTCGTGTTCCCTTAAGGTAAAGGCACTGTGCTTTTGCAATGTTTATCTGCCAGGAAGGAACATTCAGGGGATGTTCCCTGGGTGACTTGGTTATGCATGAAACTTTTGGATTTCTGAAATGATGCAATGAACTTGCTACACATTTATTTTTCCCTGATATAGCTACTTTCTGTTAGGAGGAAGACTGGCTGAGAAGTTACGTTTTATAGTGCTTTAAAAGGTCAGCTAAACCACTCTGATGATCCACTCTGCAGCCACATGTGCCTTTTGGATAACACAGAGCCCTGAAGCTACATAACCCCAAAACCACTGTCATTTCTTTAGGTTGTTTGGTAGTTCTGGTTTAACTGAGAATGAGCAGAGGTGTGGGAGAGAGATCTTTGGAAGTGTCAGAAAGGCTTTTAGATGAATAGAAAGGAAGAAGAAGGAAGATGCTGATGATTCAAACCCACACTCCTGTGGTATTGCAGACAGAGAATTGTCAGCCACCTGCCAAGGCCCCTGTCTTTGCCTGCAGTGAAGCAGCTGTTAACAAGCACGACAGAAACTTGTTCTCAGGTTTCCCTCTCAGTTTCTCTCCTTTCCCCTGAAATAGTGAATGTGGTAGAAGGACAAAAGGAATTTCCCTGTTTCCTGGAACTGGGAAGCAGGAGGAGTGATTAAGCCCTGAATGCCATCCACCTGCAAGGGGTGACACACTTACCTGCCTGTGTGACACTCCCACGGGCTGGGGGAAGGAAACCTCTGAAGGCTGTGCCCCAAGGCATGATGCAGGAAATCGGGGAGGAGGTAAAAGAGAGATAGATGACTCTCTTCGATGAAATCTGAAATTACACACGGCTCCTTTCACATGCAAACCGCCAGCTCCAAAATGAGTCATGACCTCGGGGCACGAAACCGAGCTGAGCCTAAGGAGACACCCCAGGGTCAGACTAGTGGGATTAGAAACAGTGAGAGGGAAGCCACAGGGAGGGATGGGGATTCCCGGATGCAGGGGGAGGAATTAGCATGGTGAAACAGAAGCCAGCCCAGAGTCAAGGAGCATCCAGCTTGGAAACCTGTGGAAACACCTGCTTCCCCACATTAGGCTCCCTCCAGCAGAAGGAGAATAGGAAAGGATTTGAGGAGGAAAATGAAGGGATGTGCTTTACCTCAGCTGTTTCTGTGGGGTGCTTCAGTGCTCACTCAGAACACTGTGGCAGTATTTGATCTGTCTTGCCTTTCTCTTTACATTTATGGCACTTTTTTTTGCCTGTGAAAGATGTGTGGTTTTCACAGCTTAAAAGAGGATGGTTTATGATATTTCTGCACTAGAAACGTGCTGGGTATTTTTTATTTATACTTTTAAGTCAAGCAGCTTTTCACTTGGCTGGTTGCTGAGCTGGACTTCAAGTGAGTGACAGCTTGACAGTAGTGATGGTCTTCAACAACCTCAATACAAGACGTTAAGGAGCACATGTCTCAGATTGTGTGGTTTGGAAAAGGAGGTCATATTTTTAACACCTAGCAGACTTTCAGTTATGAAGGTTATGAAATAGTATTTGAAAAAAAAAAAAAAAACACACCAGAAAATGTCAGTTTGTGAAATTAGGTGCTGATTCGGACATAAAATAAAGGGAAAATAATGTATTTAGGAGGTAGGAAAAAGTTAATTATGAAACAAATCATGACCTTCCATGTAGCGTTGGTCATTCATCAGGAAGTTTTTTGGCAGAGCCAGCAAGTTGTTTTCATTCTTTAACTTTTTTCAGGAGGGAAGAGTACAAATTGCACTCTGCAAAATGGCATTTCCATCTGGGCTTAAATTGCTTTCAAGACTTACCTGAAAATGTCTGTAAATAGATTCTCCTTCTCACTAGGATTTTTTTAATAGGAATTTATTATATTAGTGTGGTTTTAAATGCAAATATTTGAGAGAGATAAAATGTAGGTCTGCAGAATGAACCCATTCTCAGCACATCCTTCAGCCTATGATTCCTTCAGCTGTACTACTTTAACTGCAGCTTGTCAGGATGTTGCATTCTCCACTCTGGGAGAGGGAAAAGATTTGCATCAAAAGACAAATTTTACCCAAAAGTACTAATGCAGAATGTATTGAGTATATCTAGTACCTGATCAAGATTTTGAACACAGGAGGGATGTTTTCTGGGGGAGGTGAGGGTGGATAGAGGTATCAAATAGGAAGGGATAACTGGCAGTGTGTGAACATGAAATAAATTTGCAGAGATACCATATTTCATAGGATCCATTGGTAAAAAAAAAAAGGCTACGATAAACTTTCAAGCACCTAAACTGTTTTGGGTGTGAAGTGAGAGAAAAAAAAAATTCATTCAAGGGCTATCTGTGCTCACAACCACTGTGTCATAAACTAGGAAATAGCCTGTTTGCTACAGTTCCGAATGATCACCCAGTTATTGTTCCATGGAACCGGGATTTTCATCATCAGGCCCGAGTTTGCAAACGCTTGGGTGCTTGAGTAGCCGTGCCCTTGTGGCTGGTCTCCTTGGCACTGGTGCAAACCAGTGGATAAAGGAAATGCTGAAACATGTTCCTGAAACAAAGGAAACGCTGTGCTACGTTTTACTTACTCAGAAACCACATCTTGCTCTAATTTGATCTGGTTGGTTCCCACCTATCAAGACACACGTTTGCACGTCAGAGTTTGTAACCGAGCAGCACAGAAGGCTGAGGCTGACACACTTGCTGAAGGGACAATCCCTTCCCAGCACACTTCTGTGGTGAAGCACATGGACCAGGCTGGGACAGGAGGAGGTACATTCTTCCTCTGGTTTAGGAGCTAATTTTATTCTTCAGCCAGAATCTCTCACTTCTTACCATTTCACCACGTGCACCAGCATAGGAAAAGGGGTTGTGATGGATACTGTGGCAAGCACTGCTGGCATAACAGCAGCTTCAGGAACAGAGCCAAAACCAAAGCTCAGCCAGCACATAAGCAAACAAAAGGTTCTCCAGAAGCCATCAAATTTTAACCCAAGTAATCTCAGAATTAATCTAATTTCTCCAATTATGCAACTGAAGAGTACAATAAGTAAAAAATAAAAATTAAAAAAAAAAAAATTCCCCAACAAACCTCACAGTGGATACACAATCAGCTAGGGGAAAAAAAAAAGCAAAAAATATTACTTTGCCATTTTATCATCATCAAGGAAAGTTCACATTTACTTGCATCAAGCCTTTTAATGGGTCTTTGTTTCACTGCACTGAACAGACTAAATTTTCAGAAGTGACAAATGGCTTTCATTATCTTAATTTATGAGTGATATTTTGTAATACTGTAACAGAAGGCATTCCAGAATTGAGATTAAAATCCAGCACTCTGAAAATAAGAGCTTTTATCTTCTTGTGGTGCCAACGCTTGGAGGATTCAGTGTTGGCTACGGCTCCAAGGCTTTCATTTTTCTCCCATTGCAAGATTCCCAAACATGGCTAAAAGGCTTTTACACTCAGAAAGCTCAGGTCTTCCTAGAATACAAACTAAAATATTTCTCATTTTTAAACAAGGTGGTAAAAAAAAGCCCAATGTCAAAGCTGCTACTAAAAGAAATTACAGAATGTTTTAGAAACAGAAGAGAAACTAATAAAAGACTTCTAATCAGTTCATCTCCCCTTGCCCTTGGAGGCAGAGTTTATGCTGCCATTTGGAAGTTAACTCAGGGAGTTTCAGAGGGCAGCAATCTTGCCTGTTCCCATTTGCTTCCTGGAAAGCTTTTTCCATACCTGGCAGACTTTTAGTTTTGCAACTGCATTTACAGTCTGGTGGTCAACTGGAATTCTCAGAGCAATTTAAAACTGTGTATTTGTTTTAATGGCTTCAAACCAAGTAGAAATACCTTAGAATGTTTTTGTCTTTTTAACTTCTGAAGTCTGATAGTTGTCAAGATCCCCTCTTTCGAGGATTTCTTATATATCTCAGGTTTCTGAAGTGCTGTTGTACAACTGAGTTGTCCTCGACTGTATTGCCTAGACCTAAACAAGTGTAATGTCTTTATCTCTGCAATACCAACAAAAATGAACGTTGTCACCTCCTTCTGTTTCTTTTCAGTGCTATTAACTGTTTCTATAAAGACAGACAATGATTTTGCTTCAACCATTCCCAGTTTTTGCTGGAAGAACATCACCACCTCTGAAGAGCTTGAGCTTTTGTTCCCTACTCACTGGCATTTAGTTTATAATCTGCAATGCTGTCACCGGGGAGGGACGTGCTCCAAGACTCGTTTTCGTATAGGCACAGACAAAATTAATTTGTTTTTTGATGGGTAGGATGACTCCTATGGAGAATCTGAAATGTCTTCATTAGAATAGCCTTAAAACAACATTAAAAAACCCGCAAGTTTTCCAGTTACTCCATAAACGAGAAAAAACTAAAAAGAACGTCAGGGTAAGGAGGATTTATATCATATGCAAATATCATAAAGTAGTAGCTTTCTTCCAAATTGGGGTTTGTATCTTGCAAAAGAGGAGTTGCTTAGTCACGCATTGTGAACCAGAAATCTGGAATGTGGTTGTTAAATTCCAGCATTTCACAGGATTGCTTTACTTTATCTAAATCCTTTCCTGGAAACGGAAGGAAGGATTTATATTATTTTATGTCATATTTCATAGGCTAGCATTCATTCCATTCCTTGAAAATGAAATAAGCAACCTCTGCTGCCACTGAAAAAGCTCTAGACATAGAGGTCTTTGCACAATAAGGAATATGATTTTTCTTTCATGCTTCCTTCTCAATTCCATTATTATTCAGAAGACTGAAGGTGACAATATTTTGCACTTTTCTATTTTGTTCTGACTTCATATGTGAAGTCTGTGGAAGCCTTTTCTTTGTTGACCTCTCCTGTAAGTTTAACTTGGTAAGGTTAACCTCTTTTCCCAAATGGGAAACTAAGGCACAAGTTTGGAGTGTTGGATACCTTGAGTACTCAAGTCTTGAGTAGCTTGAAGCTTAGATCCAGCTTAAGTGTAAGACAAGTAGCAGAAGTGAAGATAAGATGTCCTTAGGAGAGGAATAGCAACCCTGTCATTCTTCATCTTTGTGCAGCTTTTCTTGAGGGAAATAAATCAATTTTCCAATTATGGTTTTCCCTAAACATTTTGAGGTTTGTATGGGACTGTTAACAGACTTGGCTATTGCTCCTTTATGAGCAGGGCACACTCTGTCCTAGTGTCACTTCATAATGGTACTTACATAAGTCCTTTTTCACAACTGGAAGCAGGGATAGAAAAGCCTGTGCTCTTATTTACTGAAAAAGCATATCCCCTTCCTTCCCTTATCCTTGCAACTTCCTCTCTGGGGAGATCTGGCCAGTCCACTGTGATTTACACTCACTCCGAGCAGAGAAAGAACTGCCTTGCCTGGCATATTAGTCACAAGCAGTGTGCTTCATCCTTTCTGGAAAGCCCCAGCCAGGAAGGAGGAAAAGGTTAAAATCAGAATTCCACCCCTTATTTCTGAACCTTGGCTGCTTCCACGGGGAGCACTCGTGGATCTCCTGGGTCTTAAAGCCACTCTCCTGCTCCTTTAACCAGCAGAAAACACCTGTTCCGTTGCTCTTCTTCCAAAGGTCCACAGTGAGACAGCCACTCAAGGCCATCTTGGATGCACGTGGGCAGATGGGAGTGACATGGAAGCCCCAGCAGACCCACTGGAGGTAAGTGACTTTTTTAGCTGTTCTCTGAAGAGTCTTCTGATTGTCAGGAACTCCTTGAGCTAGTGCAGGTATCATGTCTGTGACTTTGTAGACTGACACTTGTGGGTTCACTTTTGTGTTCCAGTGGACTCTTCTGAATGATTTACAACGTTTAAGATCAGAAAAAAATGTTAGAAATATTTTTGGATATGGCATTCTTAGAAAGAAAAACCTCTCCTAGCATTTTTTTTTTTTTTTTTTACCCCCCAGAAGTATTTGGTCATTTTAATTTGTTGTTTGTTACACAAAAGGTGCAAAGTGGTTTGTTTTAGTGACCCAGAAACTTCTGTGAGCAATATTCAGGCTGGTTGGTGCCAAGTGTATATATAGTTGTGAGACATGTGAGTTGTCTTATTCATATCAATATTAATCTTAAACATGCAATTAAATATATGCCTAAGCAATTCAGCATCTGAATAACTCCTTTGGCTGCCAGGTATCACTTCAGATAGTTTAAGTTAAATGTGTCTATGAACTACAAGAAGAGGGATTAAATATTTCCTGCCTTGCAAGTCAAGGGTTCCACATTTGAGCTCAGCAGGACTGGCCACAGGGCAAATATGTGGTCAGGATTTTTGCCTGTGAAAAGACACAACAAAACTCTTCTTTGATCCTCATTGGTATTTGGCATTAAATTCTCTAGCTGAAGAAAATTTATGTCAGGAGATTCAAGGCCTCAAAAGCGGTCACACTTTTATTCTGGTTTTTCATGTGTTGGTTGAGGATTTAGGGAGGGAAACACAACTCCCTGAGCAGTCATTTGTACATAGTATGTTCTTTTTTTATGAGCATGCCTCTTTTTTCCAGTGCAGTTCTCCCTCTTTAATAGATCACATGTTTGTTTTCATGGCAATCCATAGAAACTTCTTGGAAATTATGATCTGTGACACTACCATTATAAAAATGAGGGTTGTTGCTGTTGTCCTGCATGGGCCAACCTCCACGCTTCAAAAAACAACTGCAGACTGATTTCCTAATTTCTCCAAATGGCCTATTTGTTTTCTGGATTGCTTGCTTTGAGCCCACTGTGCTAAAGTTTATTACCTTGGGCCTGCAAGCACTTACCAGGGGCAATGCTACTAATTACTCTGGTTCTTGTAAATGAAGGGAATTACGCCCACTTCAAGTTATGCTCAACTTTTGTGGCTTGTACTAATTGTTTAAATTACCATCTGTAAGATAATTAAAATCCAATTTTGTGTTCTGTGTCTCAGATGGTACAAATAGATATGATTTTGTTTATTTCAGTGGCTGTTTGCATAATGCTTCAATTAAAACACAGATTAAGCAAGGTTAAGGCAGATGTACACTTCAGAATCTGCTCTCAGTAGGTGTAAAGGTACCAAAATAAAAATGCAATGCAGGAAAAAGTTTCTGTTTCAGTTCCTTTACGTGCACCTGCCAGAGTGGATGGAGTTTTACACAACAATCATGCCAAAAGCATGAATTTTTGAACATTTCTTTTCTCCAGTCAAGGCACACATTACTGACCAAAAAGAAGACTTCATCACCCAGTTCTCTGGAACAACACATCCTCTCACTGGAAAGACAGAGACGAGAGGTAACCTTAGATATACCCCTAACCTTTACAGATAGAACTTCTAAGACAGACCTTGCAATATCAGTAATGGAAGCAGGAAATCACTGAATGTGTTATCACTGTTAATTACACTGTATTTAAGCAGCTGTTTGTTTTATCCACCAGTCCAGCAAGGCCTGTGTTCTTCCTCTGAGAGTCTCATCCTGTGCTCTTGTCAGATAATTTCTATGTGGTTACTTGCTGCCTTGCATTTCTTCACAGCTTGAAGTGTGCAAGCACTTAAATTACATTTAAAATTACGTTTAAAATTACATTTAAAACTAGTTCCTAGTTCTCTGTACCACACTTGGCAGTTATATTTAGAGAACTGTTCCTAAAAACAGAGGATGACTTATTGTACCGTGGCTATGAATGTAGAAGAGCAGAGATTTATGGGGTGCAAAGGGCAAATTTTATTAATTATCACAGTTATAAAGGCCAAGGAACAACTGTGAGCAGCAGCCAGTTGTGTCTTGGTCACAGGTAGCAGCAAACTGGAAGCTGGTCTTTTCCTGAGCATCCTAAAGAGTGACCCTATATCCTTCAGTTCATTTGTTTGGAATCAAAGAAATTCTAATTGGAAACCTATTTATGGAACTGAAAGCAAACTAACAGGGAAGCCCTTGGCCATTTAGGAGCTGCAGCTTGGGATTGGTACAGCGCTGCCAATGATTCACCTGCAGCTTATGGCGTGTTTGCATGTTTGCTGGATGTTGCTTCCTGAGCGTTCCTGTGCTTTAGCTGGAATACCAAAGCACTGGCAGATGGGCTGGAAAGCTTGCCAGACCTTAAACTTGCTTCTTCTGGAATGAACTGGCCAGATGATGAGGAGGTAGTGAACAATCATAGCCGGAGGATTAGAATGCCAATCTATTTTTGATTTATTGACAATGTTGAAATAAGGGTTATTAACTGTGACTTCCCGGTAATTACAGCTTCTGGAGGTGAACAAGCAATGGGATCATCAATTTAGAAACATGAAGCAGCTCTATGAAAAGCAGGTAACACTGTTGATGACTTCTATTGGAATATGTATGTCACCTAAGTCTGTGTTCAAATACCGCCCAGCCACAGCCATGGTAAAATCAGCCTGCAGTGCCTGCTGTGCCCAGCCCCTGCTCCTCCTTGTCACATATCTGTTGGTTCTTGTCCCATCTCTCGTGCCTGGCTTGGGAAGCCTGGGAGCTCCCTGGAGCCTTGCTGTAATGGTGGAGCTCTCAGGTAAATTCTCTGTGAATGTTACCCTCTGTAAGCAGGGACTGTCAAGATGAACTCTAGAGAAATACTTTTTCTTTCTTTCTTTTTTATTTTTTTTCCCCCAAGATCCGGTTGACGTAGCTTTTGTTCCTTGCTTATGGCTGTGTGGCATCACTGCTGCAGCCATTATCATCAGCTGCCTAGTGAAGCTGACTGCTTACAACTTTGCCTGGTATTCCCAAACCCGAGTTGGTTCATTGAATGACAGTTCTCATCTATTGCTTCCTGCTATGAGGAGGAAGTTTACAGGATGATCTCATGTGCTCGTCAGGAAGATTTTCTCTCCAGTGTTTTCCGACAAGCTTTACCGAGATCTGAATCATTTACTGTCTCTTTTTTTTTTTCTTTCTTCAAAGAGAAGAGGAATTCAAATGGCTCTTCCTCATTTAAAATGGAGCTGGTTTATGCCCCTGGGTAGACACCTTGGAGATGCTGTGCCTTTGGGAATCTCCAGTCAGCCCACCATGGTCTGTCCCTTGCTTTTCAGCTGGCAGAGATGAAAGCAAGGCTGGACGTGTCAGAGAGGAGAGTGAGCGAGCTGGAGCAGGAGAGACATCGGCAGCAGCCAGGGGATGAGAGGTCGGGAGTGCTGGGCAGAGAGAAGCTGTGGCAGGAAAAGGTAGGAGGGTGCACTCTGTCACCTCCTTTGTGCTCTGTGCTCAACACTTTCTTGCCTTTCATCGTTCTCTGCTCATGCAGGGCCGAGCGTGGGCTGTGAGATGAGATGTGGTGCTGAGTGTTGTAGCCAAGGCAGTGGCTGCTGATGTACCTCATCAGAGAGCTGTGCACAGAGGGAGAGTCATTCCAATAGAACCTGACAGACAGCACAGCATTAGTGTGTGCGTGGGGGGCGTAAAGAGCAGATTGATACGAGCGCTGCAGAGATTTCCCTCCTCGCTGTGCAGTTCAGGGGGAAGTGCTTTGTGAACAAAAACGCTACAGCTATTTCAAATGGAACAGGAGCATCACTGCAGGTGTTACACAAAGTGCTTGGCAATAAATACAATTCATCTCCAGACACCCAGATTTTGGTGTTGGCAATATAGGCTGTTTCAGCTCCCTGCAAATGTTAGTAATACAGTCACTGCAGTTATTAGGCCTGGTCAGCCGCTCTAGAGTGCTGTTCACCTCACCCCGACAGTGGCTGGGCTCCTCTCTCAAGACTCCTTGGGCACTGGCTTTTATGTATTCTTTTGCATCTAAAATTAAATTCCTAAGCTGAATTCCCACCTCAGTAAAACCACCAGTCAGAGTGATCAGCATGTTTATGCCTGACAAACACACAAAACTTTGTGCTCCGTTTCCCAAGCCCCACAGAGAGGTGCTTCCTGTTCCCATTCTGCTCCGTGGGATGATGTACTTGGTGACCTCTCATGAGAGTTTCTGGATGGTGATCTGATGGCTGAGGTTGAGCTTCTCTGTTCACTTGGTAGCTTGAAGCAAACCTGCAAACAAGTGGCAAGTGTGTCACTGCCAGGCTCAGATGAGATGTGAGTTACCTGCTGCAGGTAAAGAAGTGCAAAGCCCTCATCTTGTATCTACATGAGCTGAACATTCATCCTACCTGCTTATCAATTAGTGCTAGCCAAGCATGTACTTGATTTCCAGCCAAGGGGACTCTGTACATGTTTTAAAGCAAACTAAGTCATTATGTACTCGCTGAATCACTTCCTATATTTGCTCTGAGTGTGGATTCAATGTAAGACAATCCATCTTCCTCTTCATATTACTGCCTGCCTTTTAACACACCGTATCTGGGAAAAATACCCCTAACTGGCTTTTTATAAAGACAAGGATGAGAATACACTCTGCAAAAGTTTTTACTACATACATGAATAATGAAATAAATGACAATGTAATCCAAAAATTTCTTATGGGGACAGGTTAATCTGCATGGAATTTCAGCCTTAGATCACCAATTTCTTTAAAAATTATTTATTTTTCTTCTCCCTGGGCATGTCTATGTGCCCACAGACAGGACTTAAAGACCAGCCTAATCACCAGAAAATCTCGGTGTCAGAACACCTAAGATTCAGTGTTGAATAAGGAGCAATAAGATGTAAGAATTCAGATGGTTCAAAAACCTGAAGAAACTGGAGATACTGTGTTGTAAATGTTCATGTTCCTGGAGGTGCCAGCCTTTGAGAAGGAGAATGTGTGCTAGGAGCTGGGAAAAGATACCATTCTTATGGTGTCCTGTGCGTGTGATTGTTTGATCTCGATTTTTTTATTCACATAAAGCAGCTGCAGAAGAATATTTGAAATACTTCCTTTTTCTTTTGTAAAAAAGCTGTCGTGTTTCATATGTCCAAACAGCTTTGTTCCAAGACCAGTCTGGCAAGAGTGGACTAAGCTTCCTGCAAAGGAAGCTTATGGGATGCCATTTGCTTCAGGGTCTGATTTGGATCTCAGCTCCCTTCACTGTAAATCGAAAATAGCCACTGTGAAAGCCATAGAATAAGAGAGTCAAACTTACAGGTTGGCAAACATGCCTTAATAATTCTTATAGTACCATCTTGGAAGGCTCGTGTTGCAAGTAGGGACATCTTCCTGGTAGTTTGCTGGGAAGGCAACAGTGCAGGCAAATGCACTAGGAATGGTCAGGCTGAAATTCAACAGCTGTGATGGGCTCAAAAAAAGGTAGATTTTTAAGCCTTGATTGGCTGCATGGTAAATCTAGAGTGGGCTGAGACCTGTCTCATGTCTCCTGTAGTGAGTAAAGCCTTAAGACTACGTGACACTGAGATCTGGTTTTGTCTTTAGTGTTGCATGGCACTGGGAATGGCTGGGACTCCTCCAGCATTTAGCCTTGGCCTTGTACTGTGAATGCATAAGAGAAATGCAAGTCTGGGATAATTGTCTGTATGATCCTACCCTGCTTGGCCTGCCAGCTTTCTCATGCCTTTGTGTGACTGCAGAGAGCAGAGATTTAGCCTGGTGTGTTGCCTCTGTCCCATCATGTGGTGAGTGGTTAAAACAATGTCTTCAGCCTTTATCATATCTGGGCTTCCAACGATCTGCCTTCCTGTTGCCTCCCTTCCCAGCTGTGCTTGGGACAACAAAAAATGCAGCACATCTGTCAGGCAGAAGATACTCTGAAAATTGTTCTTGAAAAACGTTTCCATCTGCACTTCAGCAGCACCTCTCTGTGTTTTTGCACCCCAGAAAGAAACAAAAGTCCTCAGTGAAGCCCTCCACGAGATGAGGGAGGAGAACAAGCTGCTGAAGCAGAAGAACGCCTCCATGGCTAGAAAGAAAGAGCACTATGAGGGGGAAATAAGCCGTCTCAATAAGGTAGGAGCAGGAGTGAGCTGCTGACCAGGAGCTGTTCTTTTAATTCCAGGAGCTCCCTTGTCAAGCAGTGACACTACCAGATGCCCATCTTTTCAGTCCTGGGTGAACAAGGTAGCAGACCATGATCAGCTTTTGGGAATTGGGGAAACGAGCAAGACCCAACCTGAGCTAATACGTGTTCCTGGCAGGTAGTAGGGCTGCATTGCAAAGAGGAAAGTTAATGGAATCTTTGGCTTCTCCTGTGAAACCCCTCTACATGTCATTTCTAAGCTCTTTCTACATCCTCCCTCCTTAGAACAAAAGGGAAATGGCACAAAGATGACTTTATGTGCACCGTGGTTAAAAAAAAGTCACACAGTTTTAAAACTGTTGTTTTACTTATATTCTGTGTTTGAGAATAATGGCTCCTCTTCACAAGACACAGTCCTGTCTTACTGTTTGTACCCATGCATACATATATTCATTCATATAAGTATTATGTGTACTTAGGTCTCACTGAGGAAATTGCCATTAAATAGCTAAATGGGATTTTTTTTTTAACTGAGGGAAAGTAATAAATGTAATTTTGTTTAATCAAAAGATCACATAAAGCAGTGGGTGTTTTCTAACAATTTTTTATTTCATGGTGAACCACAAACACTTCCTGAGGAAATGCACTGCAGTAACCATTGCTGTGTAACTTTAAGTGCTTTAACAAGCTAAAGGGCCATGACGTGCAAAAGTCAAGCCAAAAAACATAATGTTTGCCATAATAAAAAAATCTGTTAGAACATATGATCTCTAGCTCTTTTCGAAATGCATTGACAGGACTTGCTCAAAACCTTAGTGTAACTTTCATTCAAGGTTCATTCACATTGTTTTGTGAAACAACTTATTTCAGTGTTTTCTTTTGCTGCCTTATGATGTGCTTGGAATAAGACAGATGGGTAAATAGAACATTGTTTTAAATGAAGCATCGATTCATGTAACACACTTTCCCAACAGTAATTTACTGATTATCTGTGTATCTGCATCCTTCAAATCTCATGTCAGGAATGCACATAAGACTGGAAGGGACCTTTCTAAGTCTAGTCCCCTGCTATTGCAGGTTCAGCCACTTGAAGTTATGACAAATCAAACAACTTCTTCTTCTTTTATTTGAAATGATAAAGTCTCACAGTATTGCTTTCAAATGCAGTTTAAAATAATCTTCACCTTATTTTTCTCTGCTGTTAACCTTTTGAATATTGAATTTTCTGGATATTTATATTTTTTCCCCTCCATAATCCTGAGATGTAGAACCTCCTCAAAAAGATATTAAAAAGTGTCTTAAAAAGGAACAAAAAGTAAGTTAATCAGTCAGGTATCTGTATCTTCAAACTCCCATGTTGAAGTTCAGCCTTATTTATGTGTTGACATGAACACAATTTGCCGCTATTATAGCAATTTCTCTTCTGCACAATCCTTAGGGACAGCAGCTCATCAGGTAAAAAGCCTTCCTTTTCTATGCCTTCCATGGAAAGGGCTTGGTTTTGATTGGCCTTTTGATAATTAATTAAAAATTATTCCAGTCCCAGGGAGAGCTGTGTAACGTAATGCTGTTAAAAATAAACAAAATCTGCAAAGAGCTGTGGCAGAATTTCGCTATAAAGCTGAGCAAGAGTGGTACAATGTTGTGTGTATTCCTAACTCCCTCTAGTGACAAGCTATCGAGACTACACAACGTCCTCTCCAACAGGAGAGTTTCCTCCGTTCCAGTTGAAGAAATCTGTACTTTAAATGCATAAAATGTTTCAGTCCGACTTTCCACTAGTCACATTTTTAATTTAAAATATTTCTTTTATTTACTTGGGGGTTTTTTGTTTGCTTGCTTTTGGCCTCAGCTAAGTTTAGACACCTATCTGTTTTCCCAAATTCCAACTTGCACAGGGAAATGGTGTTTATGGATGAGATTTGCAGCTGTGATTTCTGTAAGTAAGTATTGTATATGGTTATAAGTAAAAGCACAGTCCCCTAAATTGCACTGACTCAAATTCATGGATGCAGTGTGGTATCTTTGAAAGTGTGGACCTAGTCATGGATATATGTTATTCATGAGGTTTATATCCAGGGTACATAATGGAGGCAAATGCAAGTGAAGGGAAAACCTCTTTCTAAGAATTTAAAAGGATATTTTTTTCCTTTTCATGTAATGAATCTCTACTTAGTATTTTTGCTGTTTGACGTTACAGGCCCTTCTGGATGTGTTGAAAAAGCAGCACTCGCCTGTCCTTGGGACTCCCCTGGGAAAGGGTGACAGGAATAGCATTGAGGAGATGAGAACCCAACTTGAAGTGCTGAGGCAGCAGGTAAGAGCAGCTGGAATTAAGGCTGGATGGATTTCACACAGCATAATTTCGCCTTGTCTCCCAAGAATTGTGCCTGGCAGACTTGCTATGCAGAGTTTTTGAAAGGAAATCTTGGAAAACTAGAACGTTGGCATTGCAGTTTTTCGAAGTGCGAGGCAAAACATTTGCATCCATAACCTACATCCCAGCCTCTTTAGATGCATATTTATTTCTTTTTAAATCTTTGTTCTGAACAACTCAAGTGCTTTGTGCACTGCCTTTCCTTCCTTATGAAAGAACCTGTTTAAAAAACATTATAGTTTTCTGATAATTTTACATTTTGGGTCTGGACAGTGTTAGGGTTAATGTTATTGACACACAAATGGATGTGATCAGAATGTGAATTTTATTCAATGGGAATAAAATACTTGTTTCTGTCACGTTTGACAGCAGAGCCAGATTTTGCTCTCTAATGTAATGCTTGCCACATGCTGAAGAACAAAATCCTGCACTTGATTGTACAGTAATAACTTATTTCATTCTACACAATAAAATAGAGTAAACCAATTTTTTTTCAGAATTCTCATGGGGTATCCGTGTTATGAATGTATTTTTCTAGTTGTATAAATCAGTACAGTGAGCCCAGACTTGCTTGTACACGAAGTGGAGCAGGAGGCTGTAACTGTATGGAGAAGGGACTCCTGGGACAAACAGTGACGTGGTAGGGTCTTACCAGAGCCTGGTTGTCATCAACCCATCCCTGGTCATGACAGGAGAGATGAAGGCATTCTTTCCTTGGGAGGTGTCCCCCTCTGTGCCAAAGGGGTTCCCTTGCAGCCTCAGCAGGTTGTGCGGCTGGGGAGTGAGAGGGAGGGAGGTGGGACAGAATCGGGAGAGAAGAAGTGAGGAAATACTGAGGGGGGAAGTGTATAGCTGGACAAGGGACACAGGGATTGCAACTTTGCCTCTGCCTTGGAGGGTCAGGGGTGTGCAGGCCTTCTCCACACATGGGCTGTGGAGCGGAGTCCCCCCACAGCCACACAGAAAGCCTTTGTTCCTTTTCCACAGTGTTATTCAGGAAGGAGGTTCTATCTAGTGGGGACCATCAGGTCCAAAAACACCCTTGCAAAAATTAGCTGCAACAGGCAAGTTGTGAAAACAATTTATAGCGCCCTGTGTTGACTTTTTTCTTCCCCTGAGGTATTAACATTTCTTTAGTCCTTCTGTGAAGTCATAGTCGTGCTGCCAGCAAAAGGAAAACTGGATCTATCTGATGGGCAGGGCATGAGCCACAGTGAGAAAGGCCTTTGGAAACAGACTGTCAGCAGCTTTAGGGAGCAACCAAGAGGACATGAAAGGCCTTCTGAAAGTTCTGGTGGTGGTTCCCACCCAGACATGCCTTTGCTGTTATTTGTCAGTAGAAATGTCACCAACCTCCAGCTCCTCACCGGGTGAATTCCTGCCCATTCATTAGCTGGAGAATTCAGCCAGTCAGCTTAACACCAAATAATTGACAGATTTGTGCTTTGCTTCTTGCTGCCTGAGCCTGGGGTGGTCAGACATTTTTTTAGTGGGATGAAGCGCTTTGATTCCTGGGGGCACAAAACCAGCTAAACCATTCCAGGCCTCAGCAGAAGCTTATCTTCTAGGAACCAGGTCAAACATCTGTATTTGCATTTTGAATCGTGTACATTGCATTTCCCTCTACCTCTTCACTGGGGTGGAGAGGTTCTTCCCCAATTGCTTGCACCTGAGCTACAGGAGGGAAGAGAAAACTGGAAAAAGTGTTGGTAAAATCTTCGTCCTGCTACTGTTAATCCCTTAGAAAGCTTGATATTGGTATTTGCTGTCTGGTTTATAATATTTAAAGCTGATATTTGCCAGTCAGCCTTTTAAATTTCAAGGGTCTACAAATACTGAAGCTGTGGACTGTTTTGATTGACAGGTGCCATTGGAGAATAGTCATTACTTGTCATTTTGTGTTGGTCATAAAAAAACACAAGGCAAACTCCTGGTTGTAGGATTGTCCAGAGGAGGGGTCCCTTTGGAATGCACTCCGCTGCTTGGGCAGTGTTTAAAAAGCAACCAGACAACAAAAGTGGATGAAGTGGCTCTGCTGAGATTCCCATCCTTGGTATTAACAATTGCAGGTACAAATATACGAGGAAGACTTCAGAAAGGAGAGATCTGACCGAGAAAGACTCAACGAGGAGAAAGAAGCACTGCAGAAAGCTAACGAGAGATTGCAGTCTCAACTGAATAAACTCAGCTCTCAGGTATGAGGCAAAAGAAAGCTCCCACTGCCAGCACATGTGCACTTTATTTTTGTTTTCTCACTTTCCACGCAACTCAAAGCTTTCTGGCTTCCATTAATTGACATTGGATTTTATATGAGGTCACCACCTGGGATGAAATCATTCTGAAGTAATGCAGTATAAGAAGATGAGAAACGATTAGAGAAGGCTTCCAAAATGAGTAGATGAAGGGAGTATTTATTGCAAAAAACTTTTCAAACGTATCTTAAAATGGAGGCGGGGGGGGATGACCAAAAACAAGTCCAGAGGACTTTGATTGTTTCACTGGCACTTGATATAAGAGTTATAACATCAAACAAACTTTTGAAATAAAGAGCTTCTCTAGTTAACCCTGACCTCTGCAATTGAATTACAGGGATGGTAATATCACTGAGGAACAAAATGGGCTCCATACAAATGAGCTGAGCAGCCGCCGCAATAATTTTTTCTTGCAACATCCTTTTTATCTCTTCAAAGTAGTGTCAGTAGGAAGCCATAGTAAAATCATGGCATGCAAAACTCTGAGCTTTCTCAATCCCCATTAAAAAAAATGACGAAATTTCGAGGTTTCCTGTCTTGACGAAGTTGTGCAATGTTTTAAAAGAATGGCCGGTTACCAGCGTGTTCTATGATGATTTATTGTCCTCCCCGACACTGTTGTGAAACAGAAACTTCAGTATTGACTTATTCTCAACCAACCCAAGCATCAGTACTAGTAAGGTCTTGCTGTAGTATCAGAGGCAGTGAGTAGGGGGGGTGTCTAAAAACAGAGCTAAAAGGCCTTTCCCACTCCTCCCCAGTAGGATCAAGAGAAATGCCAACACCTGAACAGGTGCTGTGTAACATGCATGTACAACTTGTCTGTCCCTGCAGTGCATCCACAGTTCACACTGGAGATCTTCTTGTTTGTCTCTTCCTGCCTCGGGATTTGATTAAACAGAGCTTGTGAAGGATTTTAAAGATGAGAGCAACCATACAAAATATTTATTAGTTTGTTTTCTTAAGTCGAATCATTTAGTTGTGACTCACAGAATCGCAGAATGTTAATCATCTTGTACCCCTCCTTCCTCTGTCCTGAAGCAAATTCCTGTTGACTTTACTGTAATGCAGAGGGCCTAAAGAAAAGGCAGGCCTAAAGAAAAGGCAGGCCTAAAGAAAAGGCAGGCCTAAAGAAAAGGCAGGCCTAAACCTTGAGGCCATTGACTTTGGTCCTATATCAAAATTATTTACTTTTCTTGTCATGCAAGCATCCATGTAGTTCTGCTTCAAATTATTGAAAGCTGCTGTGTGTAATGAAGATATAGAATACTTGAATATAGAACACACCCAGAAATGTGCTTGTCATATCTTGAAACCAATATTTTCCTCACATAAAAAGTGCCAGAACTCTGGTGTGGCGCTTTCTTAAATAATTTTTAAACAATAAGTGGTCAGGAGGGGCTAAACAGGCAGCATTGTGACCCAATGCTGAGAGAGGAGGGTTTCTTCCCCGTTGCTTTTCATTGATGAATTTGTACTTGACTATTCTGTTGGTCGTCGTATCCTGCTGATGATGCATTTCTTTTTATTTTTGTGACAGACAAAAGACCTCCCAGTACAGCCTGAGAGGCCCAGTTACCCACCTCCACTCTTCCTCTCACCCTGTGTGAATTATGGGAGGTGTGGGATGGTTCTTCACTATGCAGATCCTCGAGTACAACCAGGGCCTTGCAGGGCACATGAGCAGCAGCAGCACTTGGTAAGATTCCCACTACTTCCCATGTGTCAAGGACACTGATTTCCTCTCAGTATGGTGACCACAGAGTAACTGGTGCTATCACAGTGCCCTCAACACCAGCAACTGAATTTGTGGTTTCACAGTTTGTTGTTAGTTCCAGATCAATATCAAATTTACTTTGTCAAACACTATCTATCTATAATGCCACTCAGAAGAAAAATGGGGTTGTTCTGTGGTAAGGAACATTTGTACCTTAATTAGAAAATTAAAGTTGTTGGATTGGAGTCTTGCTGATTCCTTAGGTAAATTTACAACACTCATTCAGAGCCCTTTCTAACTGTATAGCTACCCACATTCAGCATTATGGGTCTGCTCTCTGGAGCCCAGTTCTGACCCTTCAGCCTACAGTAATAAAATAATACGATAATAAAAAACAAATCAGCAGAAGTGGAAGGTGTATCTGAGTGTGGCTAACACCATGGGAAATTTGCCTTTTTTCCTGGCACACAACAGGGTCCTGTCTTCCTCAGCACGAGGAAGAATAGCTTTGCACTGGAGCAGGTTATGTGAGGGGGAGTTATCTATTTCAAGGAAAATACTGCTTCAAAGAAAGGTATTTTTGAAGTGCTCCAGATTATCTAAGTGGGCTGTGCTTGTTCCAATCTAGTGAGTATGCATTTAAACATGGTGAATGTCATTTTAAATACTCAATGCCTGTTTCTGGCTGTAAAGCTGTCACATATGGAAAGATGCTCGTTATTTGGGAAGTTACAGCCTTTTGAAAAATGCATGTAAGGCTTTCAGACTGCAGAAATCCAATGGAAAGGCTGCGGTCGGACAAGTAATTTCTGTGCTTCGGGAGTGTGCTTATCTGCCTATTTATCAAAGTTGGAAGTATTGCAGAATGTTTTTCACTGCAATTTGGACACTGGCCCAGATTATTTTGGCTCTTCTCCCTGAACTTCCATCATCTGGGTTTCTAGTTCTGTGAGGGATCACCGGGTTTATGGCTCTGCCATTCCTGCTGGAGTGCCGGGGTCACTTTGCCTCGCTGCTTTGTAACTCCCCGTTTCATCCCGACCCTTGTTTGAAATGCTGTGCCTGGGCCAGTGCAGCCTTGCTGCTCTGAGCTTTGGGAACCTCCCTGAGCAATTTGTTAGCAATGAAGGAAGGTGTTAGAATTTAATGAGTGTCCTGATACTTAATCCTGGGTGTTTAGTCTGTGCTTTTGCTTTTTCGGTCTTTTTACATCTTGCACTTTTTCTTTCCTCTTTACATTGGTAGTGGAAACATTTTGTTTAGTCTTGTTTCTGAAATTCATTCAAGTTTGTGTGGTGCGAGTAGCTATGAAAGAGAAGAGTTGATCAGAGAACAGAAAATCCACCAGAAACTCAAAAAACCCAATGCAAATAAATGTAATTTGAGCCACTGGTGGGAAAACTACCTGTGCTAAGAGCAATGCAGCCTTGCTTTGCATCAAAGCCTATGTTGTTTGCCCATAAGCATGGAATTAGTTAACAATTCCTATGAATGGTACAACTGGTGTGAAAATACAACAGCTCCTTCTTTCCTGAAGGATGAGAGTGATCACTGCTCTGTAAGTGCGGAAGACAGCAGAACAGAAAAGTTAAATCTGTTTTCTGTATCTACAGCTTCATCCTGCCATCTTAATTTAGGCAAAACTTCTTTGGAATTCTCTGAAATTTGTTGCCTACAGATTAGAATCTGTAAGATTCCCCTTGGCATGGCTCAGGATTTTGTCAGAGTAATTTCTGCAGAACAAGAATTATTTTTCCAGTTTAGCTGATCTGAAGCAGCAATTTCCTGGAATTTGACAAGCTTACATGTACTACTTACACCACAAACAGCCTAACCTGAAATGTCTGGTCCCAAAGTTGTTTTCTCTAGTGGTGGTTTGCAGCTCATTTACCACAGTGTGTGGTGTAAACTATAGTGCCCTATTTCTTTCTTGCAAGATTTCCCTGGACAAAACTGTATTTGCGTGGATATAACCTTCCCAATACTTCCTCTTATAAGAAAGATGGGAATTTTTTCTACCTCACAATATTTTCAATAAGTTAGTTGATAACAGCTAGTGGTGTGAGGAAAGGCAGGGGAGGAGGGAACTTCATTCCATGACTAATTCCTGTCCCACTGAAGCATGTTACAGGTGTATTCGAACTGGAACAGCTTCACCTGGCAGGTGTACCAGGTTTCTCTGAGATGTTTTAGTACAGAGGTGCCTGCTGGTGTCTTCTGCACTTCAATCCCCAGCTCTTTTAAAATCTGATTTGGTTCTGTGAGTGTTTCTTTTGATTTGTGGGATCTAGAAAGGTTTACACCAACATTTCTGATGGGTGCAGCATCTAAACCCTGTGCCATAGAAAAGGAAGCAAGCTGAGGGACTTGGATCAGTGGAAACATAAAGCTAAATATAAGATTTTTTTGGTAAACTACTTTTGTAAGACTAATGAAAAGCTTCACAGCACAATTATGTTTTTATCATGTCCCTATTCTTCTGTTTGAAGTGTCTGTGAAGGCCATATTGCTGCAATAATGTTTTATTGTTCTGTGCAGCCAGACTATCAGTGGTATGTTCCTGACCAGCTTCCGCCAGATGTGCAGCACAAGGCAGATGGTAAGACAGCAGCTGTTCAGAGCACATATTAAATGTACTTTTATTTTAAATGGAGGCCTTTGAGGGATGCAGAGCAAACTTTCCTATCTATCTGCTGAGTGCTTATGTGACAGCTTTGCCTTGGAGAGGTTGGGGTAAGAACAACACAGGCGAGGTTTCTAATGTAACACCACCTATGCTACAGCTTTCAGCTTCACTGCAATTCATAAAACGTCTCTATTACACGTTATAGGATCACACATTTGCCCCATTAAACACCTGGTAATAGTCCTAAAGAAAAGATATTCTCAGAATTCTCCTTAGAGCTTCTGTTGCTCCAGCTAAGACTGAATTTGATGATGTGCTGAACCCAGGGGCCAGCATAGGTTTAGAAGTCCTTGCTAACAAAGTACAGGCTTTAGGATGTCGTTTCATCTTAAGGGGAAAATGCTCATTGCTGTTCTTGATCTGCTCTGATAGTTCAGGGTGCCAGGTCTGAAAAAAAAAAGCCATGTAAATGAACAGAGTTAAATAGTTGCAACAGTGTCAGTACAAACTATTTTTTTTTGGAAACCAGGAGGAGTATTTAATATTTGTACCTGGACTTGAAACCATTCCTGGTTGTTTTGAAGTACTTGTTTCAGACCACTCAAAAATGGGTGCCAGGGAGCACAGGGAATCTCTTCTGGGTGGGAGTCTGCCATTCCATGGTGTGAGTGGGTGCCATATGGGGTGGCAGGGACTGGTGAGTCCAGAAGCTGTTTTGTAACATCTAGAAGAAGAAGAAGGCTACAGAGGAACTATTCTGTTATTTATTGTTGTCCGCATTTGCCCAGAAGAGAGGGTAGGGTGGGAACGGAGCTTGCCAAAATGGCTGATGAGCTTCCCTTAATTACATGGCAACTGTGTGGAGAGTTCTGATGTGGTCACAGGGAAAGTAGAGCTGTGACTGCAGGAGAGAACAGGAGATTAATTTTGCTGTTTCTCCCACTTAGACTTGAAGTGATTTATTGCACCAGAGGATACAGGGAGGTTATTTGTAACAGGGAATGAAACAAGGCCACCAACTGCAGCCGTAGACCAGGACAGTGCACTTAGGGGATCTGAGGAAAGAGAGTTCTTCTCTTATCCTACTTGACTGTGACTTGACTTTTGGCTCCCTGAAAAAAAAAAACCTTTTAAAAATCCATGCCCTGTCTTTCTATTACTGTTCCTTGCCCAGAACATCCAAATACCTCTTTTGTCAATGGGACAGTGAGTAGGACACTTGGAGACTTTCCCTGCCCTTTTTTCCTTCAGTCCTTCATTTCTTAATGAGTCCCATCATAGCACTGGATGTCTGCTTTAACATCTTTAGGGCTCTTTTTATCTTGGCTGACAAAACAAAGATGATTTTATTAGCCATTGATCACACAGAAGTCCAGCTTCTATCAGTTAAATATATTATATATAGGTGCATATATTATATATAGTGGTCTCTATTAAATCTGCATGTAAGTATTTTGAGAAAGGTTTCAAAGATAGAAACCCCAAGAATATGTGATGACAAAGTATCCCAATGTTCCAATTTCTTTGTTCTATTTTGTGCAAGTGCTAATTACAATGGGGGGTTTAAATGAGCCAGTATGTGCAGCAGCATTCCTGAATCTCATTTTCTCATCCTTCATTTTCTCATTAGATGATAAACTGACCGATAAATCTTATCTCTGCTGAGCTAGGACTTCATTATAGAAAAACAAATCAGCAGTGCAGCAACTTTTAGGCATGAAGCAGTTTCCTTTAGGAATGCTATTTCAGTAGATTGATATTTCTAAGGAAAAGCCTTAAGTTTTCCTTAACAAATTTTTCTTTGACACTGGGCATTTTTTCTTAAGTAGTAATTATAAAATACAGATCACAGGTTGTAACTTCAGAGCTGAACAGAAGTGAAATTAATTGGGAAACTCATATTTTTTATAAGTTTGTTCTCCAGACTGCTGTTGTTCCCAGAGATGTGTTTTGGTAGTTGGCAGAGGATCACTTAAGCACAAGCCTGTGGAGCAATGTTGTGTCCAGCACTGAACTCTCAGGGTGGTGTGATGGTTTGGATCTGGCACTTTTTGATTTCAGCCCTTTCTAATTAGCTGGAAATAACTTCATCAGAATACAGGAAGGATGAGAGGAATGAGGTGAAAGGAGAAAGAAAAACTGCCCTCAAAAAACTGCTTAAAAACTCAGATAACTCATACCAGAGTTCATCTTCTCTGTGAACATAAGTATTTCTTCTCCATATCTTCCTAAACATTAAATATTCCATCTGAAAGCAGGCAAGGGAAAGATGGATAAGAACATTTTGTGTCCAGCCATGCTCCATAGGTGGGTTGCTGTGGGCTGCCAGGTAAAGACCACTCGGGGAGTCCTCACAGGGCAACCACCTGCAAAGCAGGATTAGGGGAAATCATCCAAAAAACTAAAGGTGTTTCCTTGAAGGTCCAAATAAAGAGGGAAAGGCAAGTGATAGGAGACAGGAAGAGATTAAGGAAGAAGACAATGAGATATTTTCCTACTGCATTAGCAATGTATTACCAATAGAATAACTCTTCTTTCCCCCCTCTGGGCTGGTCCCTCCCCAGGTACTTTGCTATTCAGGAAGCCTAGTCCTAAACTGTGCCTAAATCCTTCCAGTTTAGCCTTGTTCAACCAGCAACGCTGCCTTTGGAGGGACATGAGCTCCTGAGTCTCTCCGTGCTCGCTCAGTGTTCCTGGAACTGGCTCCTGAGCTTTTTTGTTCTTGGTTGTGTGGTTCTGTTTGGGCTTTTTGAGTGATTCGAGTTTAATTTTTAAGGAGCAAGGCAGAAAGATTTCCAGCAAATGTACTTAATGTCACTCCATTTGGCAAGGAGTGTCGACTTCCTTCCTTATCCAACTGTGCAAAATTGAAAAGACAGTTGAAAAAAAAAAAAAAAGATTGATTATGGAGATTTTCACTGAACCCAATTTTTAAATGCAAAATTCTCTGGGAAAGAGGTTTATTGCTCAGAAGCCTACTCAGAGCAAGAACCCTTTTGCATGCCACAACTGCTGACATGTACTGCCTTTTCCTCTTTCAAAATTAATCTTGCTGCATTTGTTTTCCTGGCAGAAAGATTCTCAGCACGTGTATTCAAGGACCCCAGTCACCCCTTCAGAACATCAGATATAAGTAATGGATTTCTGTGACCTGAGATGTATGTTTTATGTTGGATCCAGTCATGCCAGGCACAGGGACAAACCAAAATATAGCCCTTTGCTTAATCTTGGCATAATTTGGGAAAGCAGAAATCAACCTGCAAAGCCCTAAGGATGCCCAGATGAGCACATGAAGCAGCAGGATGTGCCCACTTACTTTCATTATAATCTCATCTCCTGTTCCCTTTCCACACTCTGCTGCTTTCCAGATTTTTGCCCTCAAGGTACCTAATTTGCTGCTAATGTTGTTATAATTACAGCTAATTGGAAGAAGAGGAGGGGTTTTTCCACTGAAAATAATGACATCTGTAGGGAGAGGGAGAAAAAAATGAAAAAACTGAAAAATGGATTTGTGGAGGTCTTCAGTGAAAACCAGACAGGAAAAAAAAAAAGTCAATTAATTGACATCTTAATTTTCCTGGAAAAAAAATCACAGACCCTAAACATTTTTGGTATTAGCCAGTTCTCAGTGCATATGTTACATGAGAAATTACCAGTGCTCCCAAGTAGTCGAGACAGATTTAATTAGCAGCTTTGCCATCCCCATTGGGAATGAAAATGTGATTATTGTCAGGATTTTTACTAGTACAGCGTGATTTCTGCTACTGCAATGTAACAGAAAGGCCATTAGCACACCTGTGGTTTCTAACTGCAGAACCTGTCAAGTTGCCTGTTTTGGAAAGGCATTGCTTTTAAAAGTCAGCTTTATCTACCTTGCACAAATGTGGCCCTTTTGGACCAGGTTTTCTGTCGTGTCCATTTGGATCTCATCAGCCCTGTGGGTTTGAAGTGAGTGAGTGAGGGAGAGCTGCAGGGCAACTCTCCAAGGCGAATTCAAAACCCTGCTGGAAATATTTTGCTCTTAATGTTTCTCGTGTAAGTGAGATACTGTGTACACTTGCATGTGTGTTACTAGAGATGTGTTACAGCATTTCCAAAATCTTTTGAAACTTCAGGAAGCTTGTGTTACACCAGCAATAGCATCTTTCCTTTCTTCAGTTTTATTTTTTCCTGCCTTGAGTGAGTTACTATCAAACAGGTTTTTGAGCCACAGACACCTGCTTAGCCATAGGTACTGCTACCTCTGTCATACTTACCTACTCTCCTGGGTGCCCAGGTACACCTATGAGCCCTGCTGAATGTCAGCTGAGCTTTTTAGAAGTCTACAAAGGTTTTACAGGGGGTTTGAGATCATTAGACCCTGATGTTTGCTCTCTATAAACCATCAGGACTAGATGAATGTCGAGAGAAACTACCAGTGCACTCTGACATCTCTACCCTCTTTTGCTTCTTCACTCCTACTGCCCCTTGCAGTGAATTGATTACAGTCTTGTAGGGATGTGTAGAACTGGCTTTAGGGGTGTGTCTGTGAAAGTGTTACAAAACAGAGGGAAATTAATCACAAGTGAGTTGTTTTTCTCAGTCTCAAAATAATTCCTGTGGATTTACTCATGCAGATTCATCCCCGGAGAAGGGAGCCCAGCACTGACAGCCCGAGACCTGGAGAAGTGTAAACCAGAGGCTGCAAGCAAGTCTTGCAACTTCATTATTCTGTTTTCTTCTGGGGTTTTTTTGCCCTCAGCTCCTTATCTCTTCAGTGCATGTGATTTATGTGTGGTGAAATCCCTGCGAGGACAATAGAAAAGCAGATCATCCAGGCTGGTGATCCTCAGGATCCAGTTAAACTCTGCTGGGAAGCGTTACTGCCCTTTGTTCTGAAGATGCTGTTTATGCTGCCTTTGAGAATCGGTTAAAGAGCCTTATGAGAAAAGATGCAGCCCTTGCTGGGGATTCAGACTGTCACATCTGTTTTGAATCCGAGAGCTTATAAACCCAATAGTGTTGTGATTTTTGTTGTTGTTGTTTGAGAATTATAGAGAGGGCTTACTTGATTCCAGGGAATGATGTGTTGATATATCATCTCGAATTCTGACATCTTTTTCTTGGTTGGTAAAAAGGAAATCTGCTTCACTGTTTGAACACATTTGTGTAACTGCAAACAGGGTACCAGTGATGCCAGGCTGAGTAAAAGGTGCCCCTTTCTGAGTCCAGGTCAGCTCTCATTTTGTTTTGGCTCTAGAATTATATGGAGAAAAGTAACCACAGGGGTTTTTTTCTGTGTGCACTTATTCGTATCAGAAGAATTTTAGTAGAAATATTTAATGGGTTTAATTTCTCAGTGAATATGGCTTTATATTTCCAAATGATTCTTGTAATGAGCCTGAAAATCGTCGTGTACCCTCTGACCCAAGAATAAAATGTGGCTTTTTAAGTGAAATTGTACTTAGATGATTAAATTTTTTCAGAAAACTATGGCGTGTGGGTGTTCAGCAAATATTACTTCACAATCTACTTGCAAGATTGTCTCTTCCCTTCAGGCTTTTAAGAAGGCAGCTCCTGGGAGACAGGTACCTGAACCTGCTGGGACCCAACCTGAAAGAAGCATCAGATTCTTGCACCATGAAGCCACATGAGAGTCCTGCCTGCTTTCCTGATAGCTCAGGAGTAGTTAATGTGGATTGAAGTTCCCACACAAACAGCTTTTGGAGCTGTGCAAAGACAGAGTCGTCAGCTACAAGATTGCCTGCCTGCGTCATTTCTGCTTTTAGAACAGGTATTTCCATTCCCTTCCGTGTACAAAAGCCTGTGCACTGAAATAAGAACCTTACGGGGTTAAACATGCTCAGCATTTGATTTTGGGCTCAATGGGGAACAGTCCCTGGGAAAGGATTTTTCTGCTTTTACACTGTAGAGCGACCCCGACACGGATCCAAGCAATGACATTCCTAACCCACAGTATGGACTCGGGGAGAATACAAGCAAAGCACTGAGCAGAGCAGACTCTGGAGGGAAATTGCTTTTCCATGAACTATTGAAAATTAGGAGTTTGACTGCAACACTGGCTACAGAATAAACTCCCGGGTCTCTGTAAGAGAGAGAGGAGTTTTTATCCGTGCATGACTTTGGAGCTGGCCTGCAGACACCACAGCAGCAGATAATTTAACCAGCAAACAATGTAGCTGCGCTACTCCTGATTAGTGCTTTGGCTAATAAGGGTGAGATCATGGAAAATGCTAATGAGGTGCCTTCGGAAAATCCAATTATAATGTAACCCAATTCAATGGGAGGTCTCAGCAGGTGACCAGTGCTGTGGGCAGAGCACCCCACACTCAGAGGCGCCGTGAATCCCCCGAACAGACGAGCTTCTGTGTGTGCCTGGGGGGAGGCAGCAACCTCCGGGTTCGTTCAGTTCCGCTGTTTCCCCCAACTAACCAGGCAGGTTTGCTCCTGCCGTTTGTGGTGCTTAACTCATCATCTGACAGCTTGTGCAAGCATTGTCTGCCCCGAGCAGACGATTCAACACGGGCTATTCACAGGAAGACAATAGTTTGTTTGCAGGGCTATCTTTTTTTATTTCTCTGCTCAGTCACAGGCTTTTAATGTTTGTCAGGCTTGGGCACAGGGCTAAACTTCGACTCACACAAATCCTAACCCCTCTTAGTGTGGGGTATTCCTTTTTTTTTTTTTTTTTATGATGCTGTATCTTTTTAAATGCATATAAAATGCCTGTAAGTTGCTTTTCCTCTTGGTTTTCTTGGAGTGATGTATGTTTCCCAAATGCAGGTGCTGCCCCAAAGGATACGCTTTCTGCAGTGACCCAGGCAGCTTTGAGGGGGTGAGTTATTTTAGTTAAAATCAACCATCGTGTTCTTAATAGGCCTTTTTCCTTCCCTGAGCTTTGCCAAAAATGGATATCAACACTCCCAGTTCTTCCTTAAAAGTCTGGTGTCTTTTGGGAGGTTTTGTCCCTTTCTTTTTTTTTTTTTTTTCCCGTGATGATGTAACACCAACATATCCATGACTTGAAGGTTTTTGTTTTGACTGACCACTATTTTACTTCCCAAGTATTTTAAGCTCTGTGCCTTGCCAAAAATTTGTTTGTTTAAAATTGTCCCTTCAGTAGCCTGAAGGTCTACTGGTGACAGCCAAGTCAATGCTTATGCCATTCTATATCTATATCTATTTCTTTCTACTCTTAGATAATGTGTGGCATGATGGGAAGATTTCATTGGTGATAAGTAAGTTGCCTGTCTTTATAAATCACTAAATACCATCCCTCCTTAGTCTCAGGCTGTCATTTGTTTTAGGAAGGAACAATTGTTACTTTGACATTGCTGATAAAGTTGGGAGCTGGTTTAATGGCCTGAGAAACTCTGAGTACAAGAGGAGCTGGGTTCATGGCAATGCTGTAGGCAAAGCACATGGGGTGCCCCAAACACTCACCTACACTATCCTATGGTGGGAAGGCTGGAAAACACGGCAACAACACGTTTCTGGGTAATTAGGATTATGAGATTCCCAAAATTTCTGGTCTTATCCTCCTCTCTCTCCTTCTGTAGTCTAGAATGAGAAAAAGCAGGTGGTGTATGGTGATACATTTTGCTCAAGCAATCTCAGCTGCTCCAGCTCTCCCTATTCTTCTCACTCCAATGAATTGGAAATGTAATGAGATGGAAAATTCTACCTTGCCCAGAGCACCCTGTGCTGAGCTGAGAGAATACTTCTAATCAGGTTGAAGTTCTCACTCTTATTTAAAAAAAAAATAAAATCCTGACATTTAAAAATGGTTTCTGTATTTTAACTTTGCTGTGAGAATGACAGAAGAATTCCCCTGATCTGTGCAGATGCAAGTTTAAAGGCCTGCAAGACACCACGGGGGTGGAAAATATTTTTTTGATTAATAAAACACTTTCCCACCAGGAGCCAGGATGCTGGTTAACGCTGTGTTTTCACTCATAGCAGCAACAGCCCCGCTTCCACCTGCCCTGTAAAAGGGAAACACCCAGGTGCTTCCTGTCCAAGGGCTGCTGGTGGGAGAGCAGAAGGTCCACGCTGGCCTCCAAACATGCCATGGGCTGGAGGTGGTGGGAGCAGGGCTGAGGCAAGGAGGGCAGGCAGGAATGTGATGGGGCACAGTGCCACGTGCAGTCTGGTGATCACTGGAGGAGGTCAGACCTTGCAAGACTGAGCCTGTGGATTGCAACTTTCTTGGTCTAATGGGAGACACCAGACCAAGGGGGGTCTGAGGCTCTTCCCATGGCCAAGGGAAAGGATTTGGAGAAGGGAAGTCTCGTGGAGCGACAGCAGGATGTTTGTATGGCATGACCTGCTGAAGAAAAAAGTTACAGCTTTGACCAATGGTAGAACTCCTTTGTTGCTTTTTTTGCTATCTGGTTGGTTTCTTTCATTGAGTTATTTGCTTTAGCTGAGAGAAGAGAGGGAGATGTTTTAATTTTCTTGGAGGAAGTTTTCATTTTGTGCCTTCCTGCGTTCAGGCTTCCTGTGTCTCATCTCTTAGTTGTGTTAATCCCAAATTAGTCCATTTAAGGCAATGGCATTATCCTGTAGGGCTGGCACATGCATAGCTTCTTTGCAAGTTGGTCACAAAACCAGCCATCTGTGACTAAATATAGCAGTCACTTATAACTTATTACTCAAGGTTAGGCACAAAGCACCAGCCAGATTATGTCCCTATGATAAAAGTTAGGAAAAACTGCCCTTTTCTGAAGATTGAAATCAGAGCTGGTCTTTTTGTAATTCTTATTCTTTTCCCCTTTCTCTCCTCAGTGCCAAATTTGCATTGTACAGTCATGACCCAGCATGGAATCTGTGGAAATAATGTCAGAAGGAACAATCCTAGTTATGCCAAATGGAAGGGATTAGCAAGGATACCAGAAAAACACAGTCATCAGCACCAAAGAGCAGGATATTTCAAATGAAGTCCTTTCTGCATAAGTGACCTGTTCAGACATCAAAACAGCTTTGGAGGGGCAGTGAATCACCCCTTATTTTCAGGGTTCTTGTAGGAAACAAAAGCTGTACAGGAGAAAAGCTGATTTCTTATGAACTGGGATAACAATACTCTCTTATGCTGGCAGTAGCAAGAGAGGGATTACTTTATTCCCTGTTAAAATTCTCCTGTGGTCAAGAGTTAAGTGAGTGTGGGGATGTCAAACAGGGGACTTGGAGCCTCCAGTGATGTGCTTTCTCTAGGAGGGAAGGGAACTTGCTAAAATCAGGTTTGAGGCATGAATATTGCATTAGAGTTAACTAAAAGCAGCCTCGAGTCTGGCTTAGTAACGCCAGCAAAATTGGTTGTTCACAGGGATTGCTCCTAATCCTTACTAGTGATAGTTAAAATTCAAAGCCTGTGTGTGATGTTGTCATCTCACTGCTCATGACACCTGAAGAGACACCTGACTTCCCTGAGGATTGGGGTGTGGTGGGGTCAGAATGCTGGGGCTGCTTTTCTACCCCTGTCTGATAAATTAATAAGGCAGCACTTCGAAGCACAGCTAAGAAAGAGCTGTAAAAGCAGAAAACCTCCCTGCCAAATCAAACCCACTGCATTGCAGGGTGACCTCTGAGCACCACAGTTCTGCATTACCAGATACCTGTTGGGCAACTGAAACAAAAAAAAGTCCTCAGAAGAAAAAAAAAAAAAAAAGGGCAATTAATCTGAATGTGCTGTTAATTTAATAGTATTCCCACGTGGAGTCTTAGTGCTACTATTCACAAGCTGACCATAACTTCCTACTGTTCCACAGGTGCTTGTGACAGGCTCCACTTTCCACGCTCATTCCTTTGCAGTCCTTTACTTTGGAGTCACAGCAAACCATCTACTTGTTTGGTTTGGGTTTTTTTTTGAGTCAGATGAGGTTTGCAGAAAGTAAAATTCCCATTGGAAGAGAACTTAAAAAGGTGGTGCTGTACTGCCAGGAAACCTTTTCCAAATTATTGAGTTCTTATTAATAGAAGTTTTCACTTTGATGAATGCAAACATTCAAGCTATAGCATGTTGTGTGGCTTTCTGTATCTGAAAGCACAGATAAGGGATGTGGGAAATGCAAACAAAAAAAACCTCTGAGCAGTACCAGGAAGGGGGAGGATATTAATAAGGAAGGAATATCCCTTATGAGTTTCCTGTTTGTTCTTATTCTTTCAGCCTATTCTGCCCAAATTTGTTTAGTTTCTGTATGTAAACATCACTATTGTTTATGAGCAGTATTTCATTTCGTTTTATTTGGACCAGCTTAATCATATGAAGACTGTAAGCCTTTCTTCATCTGGGAAGAAAATGATCCAGGCACTGCACCTCGATTTATGTGTGCTGGTGGGTGTAACACTGGCTCAGTGTTTCATGGCTACCAAGCAGATGCCATTCATCTCAGTTAATTGTTCTCAAAATTATTACATTTCAGTTGCAGGCATCTAAATCTCCACTAAATTCTTTAGGCTACTTTAAACTTTGACATATTAGTCCTTGAAATTCTGCAGACATTCTGCCTCTGAAGTCCCCAGAAACCCGGCGGGGCTCTGCAGAGCCCAGGCCGAGTCTGGCTTTGCTAAAATGCCCAGATTTTCCTTGCTCTATAGAAAAAACATGTGTGGAAAACTCAGGTTCTTCCAGGTGGTCTGGGGACTGTATGTGCAGGTGCTCCTGCGTGTACTTGTATATTTCTGTTATAGAAAATAAGTGTTCAGCTATGGAGGTTGGAGTGTAAGAGCTAAATATGATAAATATACATCCTCGTCCTTCTAGGAAAGAAATCTAGCAAGGCTGGTAACACTTTAAACCAAGCCACATAACATACTGTGTCCCCAGGAAGAGCAGAGCAGTAAGAGAAAATTAAGATTTCATTTTAACCCGGAGTTCAGCCTTCACCAGGGTCTAATTTTTGAAGTCTTCCCAGGCTGAGCAGCTTTGCCTGTGTTAATGGTATGGCTGCACTCCGGGCTGGCAGAGCCCACTCCCTGCCACCCTGCTTTGCTTTCTCAGTGCCAGCTTTATGTTTACACATTGCTGAGGGAGAAGTGTGTTTCCATGGGTTTTTATTTACTCTTTTATAAGAGTGCTCCGAGTTTACTAGAGGAGTTTAATTGGGCTCCAAAGCATTCTGTCCCACTCACAAAAGCACACTGTTGTTCTGCTTCTGTTTTTCCTGTCATGATAAGGGCCCTCCTGAGCTAAACCACTGTCTCCTCTCTGCCCACAGGATGTGGAAAGGCCCGTGGTGCACCTCCATGAGCTGGAATGGCAATGGACAATGGACAATGGACACCCTTCCTGTCCTTGGCCTCCTTCACCCCTCAGGTGTTTCAGCAGGAGGGAGAAGGTCAGTGCTCGTAGCTGAGAGCAAGGCTGCATTTGCCCAAAATGACATGATTTTAGACCAGCATGAAAAATCATTCCTGGCAATTTAAACACATTTCCTTTGGAGTGACAAAGTACAGTAAAAATACCTGACTTCTCCAAAGGCTTCCCGGCCCATTCCCTCACCTCACAGGAGCTGGTTTCCGTTGCCCAAGGCACAGGCTCTTCGTTAGAGGGAGCAGGTTATTTTTCAGAGTTCCCAAACAGAGGTATGACCCAGCCTTTCCCTTGCATGGAGGGGAAGGGACCCAGGCAGAAGTGGTCCATGCTTTTTGCCTGGTTTCCTATGGAGCAGTGTTCATGAAGCTGTGCTGGCTGTGCCCGTGCATCTGTCTGCCAGACCTTCCTGGTGACTGTATCATCCATGAAATGTCACATTTGCCAGCTTCAGTCAATTTGGTAGAAAGCCAACAGGTCTCAAAGATGGGCAGGTAGAAGGTAGGGGAACCTTTTATCTCAAGGAAATCTCAGCATGTGCTCTGGGCTTATTAGATAGCAGAGAATCCACATAGGACCTCAGCCAGGTGAGACCCGTCCCTAGGAGATCCAGCTTCAGTGACCCAGGGCCACAGTGCCTGGCTACTGGCTCTAGAGGGAATGGGCGTGTAAGCTGTAGAACGTTTGTAGTGCAGATCCAGGCCAATTCCAAGGAAATCTGTAATGCTGCCAATAAAGCAGGAGAAGGTTATGAATTAGTGCATGACAAATGAGGTGATGGGCTGGCAGGTGATCCAGTCAATACACTGAAATGTCCTTGCTGATGCCAGGCTGAAGTGCTTTGATGCTGGTCTTCCCTTGATCTGGTGACAGGATTTTTGTGGACACGGTCACCATCATCATTGTGATGGCTTCACAGAGAAACCACACTATCTTTTCTGGAAAAGTGGGATGTATTAAGGAAGCACCTGAGGAGCTGCCTTGTCTGCATAGTGCCAGACCTTTACTGAAGCAGGATTGCCTTGCTGTGACTAAGCTGTAGCTGGTGCTAATACCTTCTCTCTCTCTGATTCTCCATCATCCCATTTCTTGCTTAACAGGAGTAAAATATTTGAAAACAAATGTACTGCATCTTATCCTGCTTTCAAAGATTATGATGGTGATGGGGAAAATGAGTGACTTCCAAGCTGCACGTTTCCTATTTGGCTTTTGCCTGGTTTTAAAATGCTATTTCCTTTCTTTTTCTCTTTACTAAGCCAACACTTACAAATCCTAGAAGGGAACCTTGACCCTTTGAATGACCTGTTTTCTCAGCAACATTGGGGATATTGGCATGTAGGGTAGGGGATGGCCTTATTTTTGGGGGCTTGTCCTTGGGACAATTATTATCATCAGCTGTTGGTTGCACATGAAGGCATTGCATGAGTTTGCCCTCTCTGCCTGTGTTAGTTGATCAGCACTGTGGAAATACTGTCTATATGGTGTGATGGGGCACTTCCCTCTCCCTGGGGGATACACGTTTGCCACAGGGAACTCCCTTTCCAAGTTTGGATTCTGATTATCCCCAGAAAGATTAGCAAAAGAGGAATTAAAAGAGAAGAGCTACCCATGGAACCCAGGAGAAAGCAGATTCCTGTAAGAAACTTGGGGCTTGTGAGTATTTTTGCTTGCATGTTTCTTGTATTAAGTGTGTTTTTTAAGCAGTGATCCTAATAACATTCCTCAGAGCCTTCCAGCATAGCAGGCCAGGGTGTTCACAGACAATAAATGCCAGTTCTGTGTGGAGGAGTGGGAGAAGTAACTGGGGCTGCAAAATATTTCATCAGTTTGTATGAAAAACCTTAAAGCTGGTGCTGAGAAAAATAATTATCTTTAAGCAAACAGTTCCACTTGGAATACCCAGAAGCATTTCCAGCCACTTAGTTCAGGGGTGCTCTTTCCACCCCCTTAGATTTAGTTGATTCCCTGTGTTCCTCCAGCTGTTGTTGTAAAAAGGGGAGGAAAAATTAAGTAAATGTATCCAGTCAATTCCTCCTTGGTCCTTATAGCTTTGGTAGTAGCTTATCTACACAGATTTCCTAATGTCTTGAGGCAAACTCTCCCGTGGACTTCCCTGAGGACCACACACAGACATTCAGCTCTCTTCTGGCATTTCCCTGTTAATTGCCCACCTTCTAACAAGCAGGCCTTGCTCTTATCAAGAGTCCCCAGTAACTCCTTTTGAATGCCTGCAAGGGGATGGTAAATAGAAGCATCTCTGTTGTGCCTTTTGCTCCTGACAACATGAACACAATGAAAAAACAGACAAACTTGGGGCTTGTTGGCTGCACACACACCTCTGAGGCTGTGTGTGAGCCATCCACATATCCATATGAATCCTGCTGCCCTGCCCAGTCTGGGGAGGCTCCTACCAGGACTGAAGGCGAACAAGTTACGTGTGTTCCCACATGCTGTGCTCTTGAGGCAGAGACAAACTTCTGCTCTTACATAAGATGTGGGTTTTTAAGCTTTGCATAATTGTGTTCTCTATCATTTCGATCTCGCGTGTGTTCAGATTCTGCTTTCCTGGCCAATGCAATTTATCACAGTTAACTTGTAATCTTCTGCTTTGGCCTTTATCATCTGTACACTTGAGACAGGAAGCAATTATAGATCTTTGAAATAGATGTCCTACTTAGGCACAGCAAAATGTCTTTCGCAGGACCCAGTGTTTTATAAGAGAGGATTCAAAACTGTGATAACATCCTAGAGCGCAAACTTGGGAACTTTGCCATTCCTGAGCTGTGCTGTCTCCCATGGATGAGGCTGCATGCAGCGGTTGGAGAAGATGCTGAGGGATCAGGGCTCCTGTCGCTGGTTTGCCATGTGACCGGACTCAGTTTGCCTTAGGTGCTTCTCTTCTTGAAGTAGCTTTCGTTTTCCGTGTTTTCTCTTCAGTAAACAGCATGATACTGGTTGCACAGGGATATTGTAAGGCTTGACATTGGAAAATGCATTTAAGACTGCTGCGTTGATTGTTTCCAAAGCACGGGAATTCAGAGGCTCCCGGACACAAATGTGGCGGTGACTTCCCTCTGCGAGAGCTGACCAGCCAGGCAGGGGGAGCTTTCACTTTGTCGTCCTTTGAGCTCAGACCAAAGCAAGACCAGCTCTGCGGCAAAGTGCTGGTGCTGGATTGCTGATCCTGTCAGTTCTTGGGGCGGTTTGTAGCTCTGGCTTTGACCCTGAGGACCAAAACCAATCCCCTGAACCAAGCTCTGTCTAAAATTCCCAGGTTGGGACACCTGTATTTGACTCCAGGACGACTGGAAAGATGCTTCGACGTTTTGGGAAAGCCCACCAGATGGAGCTCGTGTTTGAGGGATAAAGCTCCAGCGGGCTGCTGCAGAAGCTGGGAAAATAGGACAGTTCTTGTTTCTATCAGATTGTTCCAGCAACAGGGTTGAATTGAGCAAGCCTGGCTTCCCAAGTGCTTGCTTGTAAGAGGAAATGTTCCATGCTAAAGATGCAGAAAAGGAAATGTATTTTTGCAGCTAGAAGTGCTTGAAGCTTTCATTGATGTTTCCATTTTCTTGTGGCTGTCTGACTTTGCAGAACTGTTTTAGCACTCCCTCCCTCTGTCCCTTAGTATGCTTCCCATATTTAATTATAATAAATACACCCCCTAGCTATTAAATCCATATAAAATCAAAGCACTGGAAAACTTGCTTAATGGTTTAGAGGAAAAAAATACACATTTGGGGAGTGAGAAGGGAAAGTGTTCAACCTTAAATTTAGTTACCTAAAAGACAGCTAATAAAACTTTGGAGTGTGGCAAAGAAAGCAGAATTAAGTGTGTCTTAGTCTGCAAAGTTTTCTGAAAGGTATAATCCGTGGATTCAGAGGTGCAGCTCCACGTCATTGCCACCAGGACCATGCTAGTTTTGGTGTGCACGTCACCTCTCAGATTTGCGCTTCAAAAGCCTTTAAAAACACGTTTTTAGAAACACATTTGTAATTCATGTAATCAAACTGCTGCAGTAATACATCAGAGAGCAGTGTAAACACTCTGGCTGCGAGGACATCGTGCTTATCTTCCACATGGGTGGTACGAGCACCGAGGAGATTCAGGCCCTGAGGTGGTGACAAGTAGTGTTCTTCGTGGAAAGCAAAGCAAATGGATATCACTAATTTCACCTCCTAATGAGACAGGAAAGTCATTACAACCCACCTGTGTTCTCTGTAACGAAGCCATCCTGGTGGCACTGGGGGCGTCCTGGGGGTAACATAAAGCTGAATGTGACACACTTGCTATCAGATTTATTTCTAAGCTGCACCAACCAACCAAAAAATGTGTTCCAAGTGAACAGCCTGTGGTTTCAGCCAACATGAAGCAGGCCCACTGCCTCATACTATGGGATTTCTGACAAAAAACAGTCAGATGATCTTTTATTCTAAATCATACGGGATGAGTTTCCTTCAGTAATGCCTTTAGAAGAACCATTCCACAGCTCGCCATCCCACTCAGTTATTGCCTGGAGCTCTCCTCCCCTGTGTCTATGTGCATGCCAGCACACAAAGCATCACTGCTAATTGCCAAGTGCTGTTGGATACACTTGGGGAAGAAAAAAGGAGCATATGTGCATTAACATAGCTGGATGTACAGTTTAAGCGCTCTGTGGCAGCTAGTTGCAGTTTTGCAGTAGCCAGATGTTGCACCATGCTTAATTTAATCTCTTTTTGTATCGTTACAGCCTGTAGTGCAGACTTTGAAAATGGATAGAGTTGAAACCTGGGACTCCACAGAGGAGATACGTTCTTTTCCTCATTGCTCCCTATCAGTAATTACAGAGAATCAAATCTTAGTGCTGCTGTATTTCAGATTCTCCCAGCAATGCTGTCACTGGTCAATGACTGACAATTTTCCTCTTGCTCTTTCTTTCTTGGTGTTTTCTCTCTATTAAGAAAATGGCATGTTCTGATTTCCTAGGAGTGCTTTGGGTGTTTGCTCGTTAAATGCACTCAGTGACATGGGTCACTGCTCACCCAGGGCTGTTCTGTCCAGAGAGGGCCCACACCTACTCCACACAGCAATGTTATGTGGCACAGATATACAAAAATGCTCAGAATTCTGCACATCTTCATGTTACACCCAGCTTGGAATCTTCTGGGAAAGCCCAAAGGGAAGAATGTTGTCATCATGGTGACTTGGGTGCTTCTGTTGAGTAGAGTTTGTAATTTTATGTTTTCTTCTTATCACTGGTTAACCAGAAGGCAAGAAGCCTCAGTCTTGGAATGAGAGATGAGGATACCAAAGGGTGGTCTTCACTGGAGGGAGGAAGGAGAAGAGGTTGATGCCATGGATTTTTCAGTGGCCTGGAAGGAACCAGGACACTGCAGACTCCCCTTGTCTGTCCTGCGCGAAGGTAAATCCTTCTCAATCAGTTGCCAAAATAACCCCCAAATCTATTCTTTAAATCCATTGTTGTTTTCTGCCTAACAGGTCCCAGTGTTTTGTGTTTCACAGGGAGGTACTTATGGACCCCTCAAATATGCCTTAATATTTGCAATTACTACTGTTGCACTGAGGATTTATGAGGAGCAGAACGAAGCTGTATGTAGAGCTGAAGTTTAGGGCACTACAAGCAAAAGCACTACATGCAAAAAGAAAAAAGAGTTAGCGCTTAGTTTCAAGTACTATTCTTGTTGGAAGGAAAGAGTTTGTCACTCCGTTGTGTGTGAGCATGTAACAGTGTGGTTGAAAAATAGTGCCTTGAATCAACACTTTGCAGTGACGTGTCTAAAGCAATTATTCTTTGAAGACAGGAATATAACAAGAACCTGGGTCTGGGCTGTGTCTGTGGGAACACCTAGTCACATAAGAATCAAAGGGTGCATGTTCTAGATCAAAGTAGCCCAATACTTCCTAAGACGTCTCATTATCATACCATTCATCTTTATTAAATTCACTTGTTTTAATTAAAGGAATGGATACTTTGCATCAGAGTTTAAGGGGTCTTTTGGGCACTTGAGATTAAATCAATGGTTTATTAACAATTTTATCTGGAAAGTAGATTCGATTATTTAAATTATGCAAAGTAGCATCATTTTTCTTTCTCAGTAGAATAAGGTTATGATTAGGAAATAACACTTGGAGCACGAAAGCCCTGCTTGTCATTATTTTTCACCTTCAGATCTGGGATTTTAGAGTGAAATCATTCATCTTTAATCTGGTTTTATGATAGTACATCAAGTTTTGCAAAATGAAACCAGTGCTGCAGTAGTGTCTAACAGCAGGTGTTTTCCAGTGGCGATGTGGGAAACGCCAGTGCTGGAGACTTGATTCAGTTGGACCATCTTTTCAATTTGTGTTGTATTTTTGTGCTGTTGGAGCAATACATCTTGTTAATCAGTTCATAAAACAGTAGGATTAAAAAGAATGCACCGGAGGTGTAAAACAGTCAACGCCAAGAGAGTTCCAAGATTAGCTTAATAAATAAAACATAATTGGATAAAATAGGCAAGTAATGAGTTGAGGGCAGCCCCAGTGTGTAATTTCTTGGGGTCAGTGGCAATGCATCAGCCTACACTGCATCTGGGTAAAGCCTAGAGGGCATGTAATGGGGTGTCATGAAACTGTATGAACACTGCTCTGCTGTTGAGACGTGTTGTTTCAGCCTTCTCCCACCAGCACTTTCAAGTGATGCAGCAGCAACTGCTGCACGTGCTTTTGATTTTTCCCAGGAGAGGGTAGAGAAAATGGCTCTTATTAGAAAAAAGAAGCCGTAATTGGGGCTAGCAGGGAGCCAGCGATGTGTGTAGGGTACGGTGCTCCCTCCCTACCTGCCTGGGCTGTGCTCAGGGAAGCAGCAGCACTGGGGGAAGGTGTTCTCCCAGGGTCATGCTCTGTCCAGCCCTACAGGGCCGTCGCCTCTCACACAGGTCACTCTGCTTCAGGCAACCCAGCGGGCAGAAGGAAAACCTCTTCCTCAGGTGGAACCTGTGGCTCAGCCACAGGCAAGCAAGACCCAGTGAGCAACATCAGCATTCTTGCTGGAAGCAGGAGCGTCATCTCTATGCTCACAGCGTTCGGTTTTATCGCTTACCTGCACGCTGTCGCTGCTTGGGCTCCACCTGGGCAGTCATGTGTTGCTCCTCTGGGGAAGGCAGCAGCAGCTACCAAGCCAGATGCTTCCCAGATGCCTCCTGAGGCCCCTGCTGTCCAGCCCATTCCTCTTCTGAGACAGTGAGCACTGTGTGACGCTGCATAACTAAAACCCATCACAGCCTGGTTTATTGGGCATAATCGATTGACGAGTCTGGTTTAGCACCTCAGTTTCTGATGTTAATAAATAACAGTACCCTTCCCCTAGTGACAAGTGCTAATCAATGGATTACTGATAGCAGATCTTCAGATCTGCACCACAATGAGAACCATATAATTGGGCAAAAAAATTATATATACATGCAATTAAACACACATTCAAGCACACACAGTGTCATCTGTCCTCCACACCAAACGCGCAGCAGCGCCGGGTGCTAAAATTTGCAATGAATTATTTATATGATGAATTATCCCTCTTTCCTCCCCTCCTAGAATATCCAATTGCCTGTTTCCATTTTTGTTTCGCAGAGATTTATTATTCAGGATTTATTCACTGGATATCTTACTAAACATTTCCTGCTCTTTCTCTCCATAACACATAATAACACACGTCTCGTTTCCTGGTAGCACCTATCCATCCGCTCCAACGGGGTCTCCCAGTGTGGTGACACCGTGAGCAGTGCCATTTTTACCCAGACAGTTTACAGTCCTCTTTGTGAACCAATTACAGATGTTCCAAATTTTGGGTGTTTATTTTCTCACTGAAATCAAAACAGTTCCAGCCCCCAAGCGAACGATCCGCAGTTACAGACAGAGATTGCGACTGCGCGTGAATGAATAATTTGGTTCTCATCAGTATTTAGTGCCATGTTGCTCAGTTCCCTGGAAGCCTTTGAGAGGGTGGGAGGAGAAGATGAATGCCCAGGGAGAAGTCATGTGGAGGTTTGCTGATCTCCTGCCCCTTTGGTTCCTCAGTTTTGCCACACAGACATGAGGAACAGCACTTTACAGTCAAGGACTTCTTGCCCTGGGTGTTGCACCTCTCCATGCCTGGGACCTGTTCCTGTAAAGATTGTACAAACCCGAGTCATCTCTGGTTTCAGGGGGAGCTCTTCAATGCCAATTTGCTACGTGCTGGGATAATACCTGGGATAGTCCCCTATTTAATGGTTTAAAGGAATCACCTACACAGGAGAATTTTCTGTATTTGAGGCTTTCATTTATTTGGTATCCATTTAACTGGCTGCCCTAGTACCTTCCAGACATACACGCACCTTCCAGCATGTGAATCCCAAATCCGCCTCCGGTATCTGTGTTTAACATTTTTTGTACCTTATAAATTTTTGAGAGCGGCAAATCTAGTTGTGGAGGTGTTTTTTTAATGTGCCCCTGGCTGGGAGTCGCTCCGTGCTGAGCTTTAAATCACGACAGAGATTTACAGTTGCGATAGAGGTGGAGCTGCAGGCATCCAAAACGAGAGTTATCTGTGCAGTGTTCACATACCTCTGTAAATAATATCCCGGGGATGTCTTCCTGCTCCCCCTGAAATCACAAACAGTAATACCCCCTAAGAACAATAGCACTAAAGCTGTCCTCAGGTTGAAAATAATCGCTTTGCCTGTGTGTGAAGCGCAGCCTCGAGAGCTCTTTGGCTGGGTAGCAATATTTTACCTCTAATGACCTCAAACCCGAGCCAGCCATTTCTGCAGGCTCTACAAAATCCTGGTGTGCCATGAATCGGACCCGAAGGTAGCTGCCTGCCTTCACCTGAGCACATCCCTCTCTGCTGCCTCCTGCACGCTCCAAAGGCTTGGGGAAAATCTGCTCGGAACGTACCGGGTTTTCTTTACTAATTTTGGCTTTCTTATTTAGTCAGATTCTCCCATTTTTGGATGATCGAACCTCTGCGCCTTCTGCATCAGAAAGAGGAGCCACGTGTATTTTGCTGAGATTATTTTGTTGAGGTGCTGCAGTTGGAACAATTCTCTGGAAAGGGAGAAGTCAGGATGCTGTGCGCCTACACCAGGTATTTTTTGGTTCCCCTCAAACATGCCTAATTTAATTCTAAACTTGTGCCTTTCCTCCCTTCCCCAAACTCCCACCCTTGAAACCTATTTGAAAACGATAAGGACAGTTGTAAAAGATGTCAAAACAGGGACATGAAAACAGAAGGATAACCGCATAGTGGCTCCCGGGGGGCTCTTTTTCTTAATCCTGGGTTTCTTTTGGTGAACTTATGCTTTTGAGCAGCCCCTTGGGCAGAGTGCTCGCTGCCTTGCCTGGAGCGACCCGGCTGCTCTGTGAGTTGACAGAGTGGGAGGTAAGTGGCAGTAACTAATGGCAATTAGCAGAGGTCTGGACAGCTATGTGTCCCTGAAGACATGAGCTCCTCTGGGGATTGTGTCTTCACAAAGTGAAGCTGTTTGTCACCCTGCAGAAAGTGATAATCTGTATCCCTCCGCGCCGAGGATTTGCTGTAGGATTTGCCCAGCTGCCTTGCAAAAAAAAAAAAAAAAAAAAAAAGATATTTGAATTTATTTTATTTGTGCTTCCCAAATCTGTTGAAGTAGTAAGGAAGGAATGATTACCTTCAGGGAAATCACCCATCAGCTGCTATCAGTAATAACTTGTTTAATGCTTATGTAGCACTTGACGGTTTTACGACTGATGTGCCAAAAAGGAAACAAAACCAGAGGGGTTTGTTTTTAAATGGCAAAGGATAGTTTCTGCTCCCAGATAATTGTAAGAAAACTGCCCCTGACTCCCCAAACCTGAAAGCTGCCTCTGACAAAAACGTAATGAGGGAGAAGGTGAGAGGCTGGATGTAGAGCTTCAAGACCCGTTTGCTAAATTGCAGAAGGGTTTAATAAATCCCATTTCTCACGCATCCCTGACGGTCTCCCCAGCCCTCTCTCCCGCCTCCATCGCTGTCGGGATGCTCCGCAGCGCTCCCGCAGCCCCGACGCCTCCAAGCAGCGGCTGCGTGAAAAAGAGGAGTGGGAGAGCGCTGCGCGCCAGGCGGCCCCGCATTCCGCCGTCCCGGCTTGCGGGCAGGATACAACCCTCCAAGATGGATGTTTGAGTAGCCCCCGGCGGCGCGGCACAAAGCGCTGCGCGGCTCTGCCGGGGGGCTGCGGGCCGGGCTCCCCCCGGTGCCGGGGCTGCCCCCGGGCCCGCCCCTGCGCCGAGCGGTGTCGGGGCGGGGCGGCCGCGCCCCGGGGCACCCCCTGCCCGCCCGGCCCGGCCCGGCCCGGCGGCAGCTGCGAGAGACGCGCCGGGCGCCTCCGCTCCGCGCCCCTCCGCCAAAACTTTTGCCGGCCGCCCCGCCGTTCCTCCCGGGAAGAGGAGGAGGAGGAGGAGGAGGAGAAGCCGGGGCCGTGCCCTCGCCCCGGGCGGCGGCGGGTGCCCGGGGAGCTCCCGGCTCCTTTTCCCTGCGTTTTATTGTTTTTCTTCTTTTTTTTTTTTTTTTTTTTTCCCCACTTTCCCCCGCTGGGAGGGGTGGGGAAGGGAAGGGGCTATAAAGCGCGAAGGGACGTGCGTGACACAGTCCCCGCTGCTGCAGCCCGTCCCCGCCGGAGCGGGGGGGGTGTAGGTAAACACCCGCCCCCCGAAAAGAAAAAAGCCTCTCCCCTCCGCGGGAGGGACGGGACGGGACCGGACGCCGCAAGGTAAGGCACCGGCACCGGGCAGGCGAGCCCCCTCCGACTGCCGCCGGGGCGGGCGGGGGTCGCAAGTGCCCCCACCCCGGTGCGGGACCCTTCGGCCAGAGCGGGACGCGGCCACCCCGGCGCCGTCCCTCCCGCTGCGGCGGCAGCGCCGAGCCCCGCGTCCCGGCACCGCTCCGCCGCGGGATGCTGCCGGGAGGACCTCGGCGTCCTCCCGGGTCTCCGCCTCGCCTTGGAGCTTTGGGTTTTCCCCCCCGCTTTTGCCCTCTTACAGCCGGCGGCGGCCGGTGCCCCACAACCCGGGCGGCTGCCGGGAACCCCCGGCTCGTCCTTGCTGCCGCTGGGCGGGTGTGTGCCAGGCAGGCAGAGGCTCCGGCTTCGCCAGCATCGTACGTTGTTTTCGGGGAAAAAAAAAGTGGCTACCAAAAAAAAAAAAAAAAAAAGTAGACAGACTACTCAGCGGTGGGATGTAAGTGCGGAGATTTGCTACGTGCAGCCTGGGTTGCGCTTTTATTTCGACAGCAGAGACAATGGCTACAAAGCGTTGTTTAATCACTTGCAGATATAACTTTTATGTATCTAAACCTTCACAGTTAAAGGCTGGCGCGGATTTTTGAAAAGCTGTGATTCTGTGACTTTTTTTTTCTGGATGTATTTAACACTTGAGCAGTAATGTGCCCTGGTTCCTCAGATGGGTTAGCTTGGTGGAGGGATGAGCGTGATGTTGTCTGTGCCATGCTGCCCAGGGCTGTTCTGGAAATCATCCCGGTGGACATCGACGTGGACTTAGGCAGCCTCTGCAAGGCTGGTTTCAGAGAGAGGATTGTGAAGCTTGTAGCTTCCCTTGGATTTTCCCTCCCCGCCAAAGGATCTGGTTAGCATCTAGTTACAATCGTTAATTAAAGCACTTAAATAGTATCGCTGTTCTGGTGCCTTGACTGAGCTGCATGGGGCGAGCTAAGCGGGGAGGCAGGATCCCTGCCGTAAATACACGGATCTCCCTGGCCCGGCTGGCTGTTTGTGAGCAGATGTCAGGAGACATTCAGTAACACCGGTGTGGCACTGTGCTTCCACTGGAGCATCCTACCGTCAGGCAGTACTGGCAGCCCCATCTGGCACTGTCTTAGGATGGGCTTCCAGCCTCGATGCACTGATTTCGTGCTTGGTCGAGATGATGGAGTTGTATCTGTGTAAAACTGGAAGAGGTGAGAGCGATTGGAGGGTGAATTCTTCCCTGGGTGGTTGACAGCGAGTGATTTATCACATTAGTGACCCTGGCAAGGCACTGCTGGCTTGTCCATAACCTGGTTTCCGTAAAAATAGCGCTTGGGTGTTAGACATCATCAGCGCCCTTGGCTGGGCTGTAAGAGGGAGCAGGGGGAAAAACTTTGTATTTCTGCTCAGCCTACTTTGAAAATCGCTGATTTTTAGCTATTTTAGGAATGGCATTTCAGATCACTCCTTGTCGGGAATCCTGCCGGCCTCGCTCTCCTACCTCGTAGTTAAACACATACATACCTGGAAGAGGAGAGCTGCTGCAGTCAGCTTTCTAGTACCACTACAAATCTCTGTGAGTACCTAATGTCTAGAATTTAAAACCTATTAATAGTTGAAGGAGGAGAGGAGTTTTTATGTTCTACTCTGACCATTAAAAATGTGATGAAGCTGAAATGTGCAGCAGTGCATCATGCGTGGGGACTGTGTGGGTGTATTCAGGCTCCTGTGCCTGTGTTTTGTCCTGTGGTGAGAAGGGAGATACCTTGTGTGCTTTCTGTGCCAGCAGAAAGAGCCCCTCTTCATTTTGAAAGGGCTTGGTAATACATCTGAAAAATTCCTTCTGCCCTGTCACCTTTTCGTGATGAGGTTGTGGGCGCGTCACGCTTTGTGCCTGCACGGCCCTGCACAGAAACCCCATTGATGTTTCTGCTGTGTAGGGTGGGCACCTCAGCGTGTCATGGCAGCCCTGCTGGTGAGATGACACAACACATGTGGGGACATGCCATGCTCTGTGGCACCCCCAAGCAGAGCCAGCTGCTCCCTGGCGTGAGCCACACCTGGAAGGAGGTGGCACGCCTGTAACTTGCTGCTGGTGTTGCCGACCAGTGGGTCACCTCCCGCCCCGGTCACCCCGGGGAAGGTCGGGGTTTGGTGGTCGTATCACAGTTTCAGAGGGAATTTGAACACTGTGTGGGATGCTGATCCCACAGAGATTAATATGGGCCCCTTTATTTAATTGTAAGAAGGCTGTCACAGAGGTGAGGCAGAGCTGTGCAGGATCGCCCCGCACGCCTGTGTTGTTGTGGACGGCGACTTCGGAAACGCCGAGGAAAAGCTTTTAGGTTTCCCCCAATGTTTATAAATACAATATGGTGCAAACTGTCAAGCAAGCTGTTCAAAATCACGTAGCGCCTGTGCTGCCTTCCCTGTTCGGCTTGAATGCCTTCACCACGTACTCCGTGTTCATCTGACGCTTAAAGCTCCCGGCACACAGCTCCGGCCCATCTGCCACGGCTTTTCCAGCACCCCTCTCCAGCTCCTGTGAGCTGGGCTGGGGACACAGTTGGTGCTGTAGCTCCACCTTGGGAGTCCTGAGCATCCTTCAGTGCCACACTACTCCTGGCCAGCTTGGCAAGAGCCCAAGCTGCCCCTGGAGCATCCTGGCTCATACATCCAAGCTGCAGAAACACCGTCTTCGAGCCCCCTTCGTCCTCCTTAGAAGGTTTGCCCACCTTAGAAGTTCCCTGAAAATGAAGGGGTAAACTCCTTCCTGGTAGCTCCAGCCATGCTGTGGCCTTCTGCTCCCTGTCCCGTGCCTTCAGTAGGGCTGGATTGAGCCTGTTTGCCGGATGTTTCACTCTGAAGTGTGCCAGGGTCTTCTGCCTTAATATATATAAAAAGACAAGATGTTTATTAAACTCAGACCCTGCTTTTTCTTCTACAATTTATATCCCAAGAGGCTGGTGATAAACAGTTTATTAAAAAGAAATCCTGATTTATTTCTGCAAATGGTTACATTTCAAGCTGGTACCGAACGGTTTTGTAGGAGACCACCTTTTATGCTTCCCATGGCAGTTTAAAAGATTGCTAGAAAAATAATCCAGAATCTAAGTAGGTTTGGATAAAGGCAAGCCAGGACTGTACGTCAGGGTATGTGGTGCTTTTATGCAGCGAGGCGGCGGATTTTACCACAGAACATCTGGGTACTGGCTTCAGTTACAGCCCAGATTTTAGTGGGATAACAAGTCTTGTTTGGCTTCGCGTTCATTTTGAAGTCACTAAACTTTATGTGAATAATAAAACTGTAAGCCCATTACTTCACTATTTTCAAGGGGCTGTTTCAGCCCTCCTTCGGGGTCTCGCA